TTTTGACTTAAATAATAGCATTGATAATAGAATAGACTATTTTATAATCAATGATACAAGGTATTCAATATAATACCTTATTATAATCTTATAAGCACGATTACATATACTTACAATCAATCGTGGTTTCCCATCGGTTGTCGGTAAATGTGATATGTCATCAAAGGAATTAAAAATAATCATATTTATTAACCTAAATAAATCGTAGAGGTTACATACGATTCATCATTACGACTGTTCTATTATTTTTCCCCTGTAATAATCGAATATTTGAATAGTTTTCGATTATAATAGATTATTCAAATAATTTAATTTATAATCGAATAATCATACAACCAAATAATAAATCAATAGAATAACCTAATAATTGTATTTTATCGATTAATCGATATGAACACTGAACAAGTAGACTGAATTCGTAGTTAAATATATATTCAATATGTTAATTAATTGGAAAGTCAGTAGTTATTATTCTTAATATAATGCAGATATTGAATTTTCGTTTTTTTTTTAACATACTATGCAACTTAGAGCCCATCTTTACCATGGCTAAAAAAATCCAAAATTCATAACCCCCAAAATTTTTTTCGTTTTTTCAAAAAAATTGTTTGAAAAACTTTAAAAATAGCCACTTTAAAGAACTAATAATAAATTACTCGGGGAAAAAAATGTTGAAATCGGTTGAATTTTGAATGAATGGGAGCTCAAAAACCATCAGCAAAAAACAAAAATATTAATGAGTTATTTGTTATTCATTACCTAATATATTTAAAACCATACAATTTTACAATTTGCGGTTTTTTGAAAATATAAAATGCTCTCATTCATTCAAAATTCAACTGATTTCAAAATTGTTGACAGTTTTAAATTTTTTTTAATCGTGATAAAAGATGGGCTTTAAGTCACAAGTTTAAAAAAACGGAACTTTAATATCTGCATTATAATAGAAGTAATACCTACCGACTTTCAATTAATTTACATACTGTATAAATTATATACGATATACTTATACATCTTATTAAACGTAATATTAAGTAAAATAATAATGGTTACAATCTATTTTTCTTCTCCTCCTTTTTCCCAACTATTTTGGGTCAGCCACCCTTGTCCTAAACCTACACCCGTCTCGATTTTCTACATCCTCTATGCACACACCAACAGCCGTTATATAATTTTCAATCATATTTAACCATCTATTTTTCCTTAAACGTTCATTTTCGTAACACTCTTACTTCATTTATTTTCTTTAGTCACATCTTATGTCCAAACCACCAATGGTTACAATCTATTAAATAATTAATTAATAACATACTCGGAAATTTTATTTTAAAACAGATATTCGGTTAATCGGGTATTGTAATTAAAATAGTTGAATATCATAAAATATTGATAAAAATAATAGCAGTTCTACACCGTCATTCCTCGCAACTCGCATTATCATTTTTTATACCCGTTTTTGTGCGTTGTGATGAGTTAAAATAGTATGTATTCTAATAATTATATAATAAAATGTATTTAGAGATTTACAATTAATTATAATCTAATTATTAATTATAATTTATAATGCAATGAAAAATAATGTAGTGAAACGTGTAAAAACTTATCAGTGTCATAATTATCTCGACTTTTATTCAATGACAATTTCCACCATGGCCTTTCGGTTTTCTCTCATTTTTGCATATAGCATAACCGCAAATGCGGCACTAATAACCTTTTCGTTGTCACCATGAACTGTATATTTTATATTTGGTCCAAATAATCAATAAAAACACGAGTTGTGTATGAACATAATCGTCAGGTATAAATACTCATAGGGTACTCGAGTCGTGTGGCATGGGTAGGTAAGTGATCTCAGATTGTTTCATAATTGAGGAGTAGTTATTAAATCAGTATCACCGGTCCTCCTCATTAACACTAAGGATCATTTACTGAAATCCTTAGAGACAATCTGTTTGGAATCATGGAAATAATAAGTTGGATGAAAAAATTAAACTCAATTGATGGTTGAAGGTTGGGATTTAATTTAATTTGTTTAGCAATTGATCAAATCTTATCCATTTTTATGTTTACATGAAGTTTTCAATAACAATACAATATTTCGGAATGAAAACTATGGATACACGGTGAATTTTTATAATACATAGTAGAGTTATACACTAATCAAATCGGTAACAGATTTAGGTTTACATAAAAAAAAAAAAAAAGATTGTTGAGTGATAAAAATAATTTGTTCCTATTACAAAATATAATTTAGAAAATAGTATGCATAAATAAAGTAAATTTTAAATAAATTAAAATTAAATAGAAGTTCATAAGAAAAATGTTAACTTCAACCAATTTTAATGGATTTTTTTTATTTTTTTTTTTAATACATCAGCATAAGTAATGTAATAAACCAACATTATTTTTAAAAAAGAAAATTAAGTACCAAATTTAGTTAATATTTTTTTAAGGTTTATCAGAAAAAACAACTATAGTTTGGTTTTGAAGTTTTAAAATAAATTTGGTACTTTTTTATTTTATTGAGAAAAAAGAAATCAATATTTGACCCCCCAATACATAATTTGACTTCAGCCCTAAAATCCCAAGTCAAATTATGAGTGCGAAATTAATTTTGAAAGTAAATATTAGTCCAATACACAATAGTAAAAATGAAATTTAACCGTCCAAAAAAAAAAAAAAATTAATAATTAATGGCAAAGAGACAATCGGGCTGAGGTGAATATCTCTATAAACCAATATTAGGAGAAATTTTGTAAGACGGGGTCCAGCTTTAAATTGTTCACTTGTACTGAAACTGAAACAGCTGTAATCTCAGTTTACGTTTTTGGATCAATTTGTATTAGTTGCACTTGCATTAGAGATCTTTTCGCTAATTAAATAGCAACAAAATTATTTTTTTTTTTAAATATATAATAAATAATATACTCTTATGTACAATATATATATATATCAGATAATAGCGAGATTTGTTTTCATCATAAGTATATACATTAAATTATGCCAATGTGGCAAGACTATAATACTGTCTACAAAAGGCTTGATCCAAGATGTTACATTCCAATTGAGACAAAGTACTAGTATGCAAGGCAACATAAAATTTCATGAAATGAAAAAGAAAATAATAATAAAACAAAAACAAAAACAAGAGAAGAGTTTAGTTATGAATTTAAGAAATTAAAATTAAAATTTTTAAGTAAACTGCAAATGGTTTAGAAATCAAATTTGTCTTTGGAGATTGAAAAATAAAATTTATATATCTTGGGTTTTTCGAGTCTTAAGTATATAGGTGAGTTTAGTTACAAATATTTACAATAGTTGTTGAAGGATTTTTATTTACTAAGTTCCATTTCTTCACTAATATCTACATCTTCTGGCCGTGCAACATATAATCTTGGATCAATTACCTGTAAAATGTATAAATAAACAAACATTTCATCAGAATATGAAAAGAAAAATGAATGACAATACAACAAGACTAATTAATTAATATATAAATAAGTATTACTTTTGGTATAGGCTTAATTTCCGTTCCTAATTCTTGTTCAATACGGTGTAAAGCAAATCGGTCATCATAGGTGATGAGATTGATTGCAATACCAAGATGTCCAAATCGGCCTGACCTACCAATACGATGCAAATATGTCTCAGCCATTTTAGGGAAGTCAAAATTAATCACAACATTAACAGCTTGAACATCAATACCCCTCGTAAATAAATCTGAAAGAAAGGTTTTATTAAATCTTAACACCTTAAAATAAATATTTATTTAGTATTTTACCAGAACAAACAAGATTTCGGCAAGAACCTTTTCTGAAATCATGAAAAACACGATTACGATGTGCTTGGGCCATTTTTGCATGAATATAGTAACAACAATAACCGAGATCGGTAATTTTTTTAGCAAGTAACTCTACACGTTGTGTTGAATTACAGAAAATTATACTTTGGTTAATTTGTAACTAAAAACAAATAAATGATATATGAAATTAAAATTTAGCTGTTCTACTATCATTCATACCTTTGAGAAAAGAGTATTCAAACAATGGACTTTTTGTTTTTCTTGGACAAATGCATAATACTGAGTAACTCCCTTCAAGGTTAACTCTTCCATCAAGTTTATTTCATATGGACTACGTAAATGTTTATCCTGAAGTATATATAAAATCAAATTATCATTTTATTTAACTGACAAAATAAACTATTATTAAATTATATAAGAAACTTACCATAAACTGTTTGACAGTCAGAGGGAATGTAGCTGAGTAAAGGAGGATTTGTCTCTCTGATGGTAACCTTGAAATGATATGATCTAACATACCTTTAAAATCTTGTGATAGAAGCTTATCTGCCTAAAATGTTTATAATTTTTGATAAGTTTTGTTTGAATTTACTCATCAATGAAAAATGTAGCTGTTTAAAGGACCACCATACTATTGTTTTTAGCTTAAATATATATATATATATATAGAACATACTATGACGAAAAAACAATTATACCACTAATTTTGTTTTTAATATTACACATGAAGTCACAGATTTGTTTGCTGCACAGCAACCAGATGTTATACACATCAATATTTATCCATTTTTGATTTAACATTTTAACATTTTTAAAGTACATCATAATCTTTCTATTAATTTAATCATATTACATTTTGGTTAAATATTAATGAAATAATAATTATATTATAAATTATAATACACCACTGCTATTACTCATAAGAGTACTGCAATGAGTTTATTTTTAAATTTATGTCTATTCATTGATTACCACTTCTAATATTTGCTAAAATAGCCAGTTTAGACGTCAAAAATCTATAGGTACACAATATCACAACAATTTTACATACATTAACTGCAGGGAATAGTGAATTCGTAAAACCGCGTCCACACAGCGTAACAAAACAACGAACTGTTCGATAAAAAATTTGACAAACTGTTCACCAAATAACTAAAAAATGTGTGTATGTTTACATATAGCTATAGCTAACCAATAAATTAACTTATATAACTTAAATAACTTTTCTGAATAACTTCACAGTAGTTCTATCTATTGCTGAGTATAGATGCTTGTCCAGTCACTTCAAATTGCTATTGCAGCTTATGTTATATTCATCTTACACTAGAGAAAAATAATAGAAGACAAAGACATCGGTGGCAAACCCAAATTTTTCGTCGATCAAAATTTGAAGGAATTTCATTATTGAACGATTAATGATGCAAACAATTAATGGACAGTTTCAAAACTTTATGAGGATGTTGCAAAGTGACTTTGATTTGCTTATTAATTTGATTGGGCCGAAAATCGCTACAACTGAAACAATTTTAAGAGAATCTATATCGATACAAAACAGACTGGCAGTAATACTTCGATTTTTAGTCACTGGCAAATCATTTACAAGTTTGCAGTGCCTTTTAAGAATGTCAAAACAAGTCATTAGTAATATTGTTAAACTTGAATTAACTTAAAAACTGATTATAAATAATAATAGTTTAATTTTGCGTGTTTGTGAAAATGTTCGACGTGTCCATACCTGTCGTTACATCCTTTGATGTTACGTGAAAATACTGACAATGACAGATCGCCAATTTGTTCAATAGAATGTTACAAGTTCGTGTTATACACGAATCCTGTTCGTCGTTTTGTTACACTAACGTGGAATAATATAATTTATTCAAGTGTTATTATATAAATTTTTAAAAGATTAAACCAAAATATGATATAAATATAAGAAAAAGTTTCTCTTAAATACATTTGATTAGTTTCATTGAAAAAAAAAATAAGTTCATTAGGAGTTATATTCGTAAAACTAAAAATAGATAAATATTGCCATGTATTATAAATGCCAGCAAATGCAACAAACAAATTTGTGTCATCATGAGTAAATATCACCATTACTAGAAAATCAAGTCGCTAATAAATTTTAGTTGTATCATTATTATTCTAGTTATAATCTATTATATTTATTATGGTGATAAAATCATAATTGATTTTTTGAGTTGGATGATCCTTTAAAAAATGTTTGATACGAGTGATTTAGTTAAAAATAAATAATAAAATTAAAAGTTCACCTCATCTAGAACTAGAATCCGACAATGATCAACTTTAGCTATGCTTTTATCTAGAAGATCCAATATTCTTCCAGGAGTAGCAATGATAACATGCACTGAACATAAATAAAAATAAACCAAATAATATAATAGTTAAATCCATATAATGATAATTTTAATAATATATTATGTATAATAGCTCTCAATTAAAATTTCTCACTCATAGAATTCAAGTGAAGGGGAATCCAAAGTATATCATCATAGAGCAAAGTCAATAAATGTATAATTATAATACATTAAAATTTTTAATTTAGTTTAATATGTATATAATTCCACTATAAAAAAAATTACATGACACAAATATAAATATACATATACACTCACATATATTATTTTTAATATTAATTATATTCTTTAACATAGAATATAAATTTCATCTATAGTTAAATACCGAATAAAAATCTAAAATTTTCATAAGTAATTTGTATAATGATAAAAATTGATAATATTACAAGCGAATTGTAACTTAATTATAGTATATTAAAATTAATTTTTACTATAACTTTCATTCACTGATTTTTGTTTGGTTTCATTGATATAAATGTATATAAAAAAAAAAATTCTCCAAAATATACATTTAATATAACAATCTTAACCCATTATAAAAGCTCTCAATTTTTATTAACTCACTCATCAATTTTAAGTGAAGGGGAATCCAAAAATTCTCATCATAGAGTATTATTATTAACGGACTAACTTTGGAGTATATTATAATAATTTAATTTAAATGTTTGCTCTCCGGTTATTGTAATATTTTACTCATTAATTTGAAGAGAAAAGAAAATGGTGATGAGAAAATTTCAAAAATAATATATTAACTTCTATAAAAATTTGATATATCAACAACAAGGAGTGTATTTATAATATTTTTAATTCATACCTCGTTGGTAAATACGAAGAATATCATCTTTAAGATTAGTACCACCAGTTGTCACCATGACCCTAATATCCAAGTGCTTTGCAAGCTCAATACAAATTTGACTAGTCTGTAATGCTAACTCTCTGGTCGGCACAATCACAAGGGCTAAAAATAAAATAATATTACTACAACAAATAAAACCCAATAAATATAAGTTTAATACCTTGTATGACATCTAATTTAGGGTCAACTTGTTCAAGAACAGGGATAGAATAGGCTCCGGTTTTTCCAGTACCATTTTTTGCTCTGGCCAAAATATCTTTACCAGAAAGCGCTATTGGAATACTCGCTTCTTGAATAGGACTAGGTTTTTCCCATCCTTTTTCAAAAATTCCCATTAACAATTCACGTTTTAAACAGAATTCTTCAAAATCATTTCCTTTGGTAGAAGTAACATCCTATTCAAAATTGAAAAATTTAATTAAAATATAAAATAATATAAAAATAATTAATGTTTAATGCATACACTAGTTTTAATCCGTTTGTCTTGAGGTGGAAGTTTAAGTTTAGCTTTCCATCCTGCATCATCTATTCCTTCAAAGCTACTAAAAATTAAAAACATTTAAATTAAAATACATATTTAGTGCACAACTAGAATTATTTTTCTTACATTCTGTTCATCTGTTTACTGGGCATACTGAGATTAATCCCAGAACTATTGTGATTTGTTGTAGCGATCATCTAAACTTCTTAAAGGTTCAAAGGAACCAATGCACCCACACAAAATTATTTTAAATTCTTAATAAAACAATCACTTTTAAACACTAAAACGTGTCTACTTATTAACTTTGTTATGTACAACAAATAAAAAAATAACAAACACTTAATATAAATACCATTAGGTATTCACTTTTTGTCCTTATAAAAATGTAAGTTAAATTATATAAAATTTTTATTTCACTTATGAAAATAATGTCTTTTTCTTGTTTTGTCTTAAGGAGAACTATAAAAAGTAAAACTTTCTACACACCTGAAAAATAATGCATGATTACTTTATTAGTTAAAAATTATAACTTATAATAAATATGATTTATTAAAATATTATCATAAGAAAAGCTAACTTTCTAGTTCTATTTTCTAATTTTTAAAATTTTTAAAATTTAAAATTCTAATTTTTATTAAATAATTTAACCAACAAGCTTTAAATATACTAAACTATTTAAATATTATTTGATATAGGTTATACCATAAATAATTGTTGATTATGAAAAAAATAATAGCCAGATTTAATTTTATTATTTTTTGTATAGGAGTATAGTATAATATTGATGATCGAAGTAAAATTGAAAATGCTAAGATACAGGGATTGTTATAGAAGAAATGTTCTTAAAATTTTTTAATATATGTAGGTAACATTGATTCTGAAAAACAATTTTCATTACTACTACCTATAATAGTCTAAGTACTTAATTTTAAAATCCTGTTTATTGAACAAAAAAAAAAATTTTTTGAACTTTGATTTAATTAATATAATAATAAAAGTTTAAATTATTAATAAATGTTTGTGTCATTGTAAGTGTTCAGTTTTTAAAGGCTTACTAGTAATATTTTCAATTATCAAATAAACTAATATCGTTAATTAACAATTGTAAAAGTATAAAAAACTTAATAAATTTAGTTGAAGTTTCCTATTTTGTCAATAATCAATATATATATATATATAAATAGCTTGAGAAACTTTTTTTTTTACTATAAAAAAAAAAGCTTGTTTTATTTTTTTTCAATTTCAGCCAAAAAATTAATTAAATTTACATGAGAACAATAAGTAAATTATTTCATGAATACATTAACGATAACTGATACATATAACAACTGAGCTAAGATCGTATCTGATAAAATGCTGTATTCAATTGTTAAAGCCCAAGTATTAAAATTGAAGAATTTTTAACCAAAAAATGTAACTAATTTTCGTGATTATAAATTCAAACGATTAACTATTAATTTATTTTTATATTTTATGCCAAACCAAAATCATTCTAATGAAATTGAACCAAAAATATGAGAAAACCAGAACATTATAAATATCTTTAAAAAACAGTTGGAATATTTTGAAAATTATATACCATCTCCAAAAACTGATGATATTCATGATGATTCATGATAAGTATTCAGCAAAATTTCCAAGAACTGATAATTATTTTTTTTTTTTGTGTTCCACAAAGTTCGCGGTATCTCGTAAATTATACAGTTTTATAAAAACAATTGTTGTCAAATGTGCATGAATAAAATGTACAAACAGAAAAAATCAAATGGATATTTGGAACATTCATGTATTTGTGTATATACATACACAAAAAGAAAAACATGGTAAAACCAGGATAGCTTCACTCAGAATCTAAAAATAACTGTGTAAATGTCGTAGTATTATAAACCTAATATTGGTACCTTCACTAAAGACTATTGACGTTAGGTTTAATAGGTACCGACAAGATAATCACATGGTTTACATGAAACTGAGAAAATCTATACTTACTAAATTATACTGAAATTGTAAGAAGGGAACATCAAAACAGAACCTTTTTCTTATCAACAAATAATACGATAAGATAATAATGAGAAAAATTGAAATATACATTGTACCAATTTAAGCTTGATATTTTATTCATTGTAATAATCATTTTAAATATCTTAACTATCTTGAAACTCAATTAGAATGTACCAATACCTAAATAATTATATTTTTACAAAATTATCACTCATTTATTACTAAATACATTAAAAATGAGCCAATTGTTTTAGTTTTAAAATCTTAAACAGCACATTGAATAATATTTAAGGTATCTAAATGTTACCCAAACAATATTATTTAATAATGGTTCAATAGATATTAAATATTCAAGTTCAGATTATGCCAATATACATATTCAATCAAACTATCAAAAAAATTATCATTTTACTTTTGTAATGTAATACATTCACAGACATTTTAAAAACAAATAAATCCATAAATCCGGGAAAATCTAAATTTATTTTGATAAATTTTAGATGCAAATAATGTTTCACAATGCGATTTAGCGTAAATAACAGAAGGTTCATAAATTTAAATATTGCAAAGATATGTGTAATTTTCAATCTGACTCCTTAATTAATCAGTAAAGTAGTATGATGTAATAAGTTGAGAATACATTATATTTAAGATATATATTTTAGAGGAAATTATTTAAGAACCATACACTGACTTAGAACAAGTTCTAAATTTATAGTACTTTTTAGTGGACAAAATACCATCACATAGTTTTAAACTATTGATCGAAGGGAGTCAAACGAATGACATTTGTTTTTATTTTTATCCGAAATATAAAGTTGTAACGGGCTGAACAGAAAAAATAAATAAAAACCTTGGAAAACTGAATTAATCGATATTTAAGATAAAATATAATAAATGTAGAACGGTACACGTTGTCCCACAGCGCAAGATAAGTCTTGTCGATTATGAATCGTACGATCATTCAAATACTTAGGGACGATACCAATAAGAAACATTACGGTGGCACAGTTGGCACATACAGACAATTTATTAATTTATTATAATATATAGGTATACAATGTTGTAAAACGATCAGCTGATAGGTAACAAATGGGATAGTAGGTGCGCCAAAACGCGAGGGGGTCGGGGAGACAATGAAAACCCTATCGAACTTCAGATAAGAACAAAACGTTGACAACCAAACAATAGGGTCGAAGTAAAACTCCATATACTTTAGACAGAAAAAACTAGGAAATCGCACGGCGCGCGTGGTCGGATGACGAATAGTACGAAGACCAAACGGTTGAGGTTCAAACAACGGTACTTGAGGGGTCACAATCAGGAAGTAGCACGCCATGTTAGGCACGTATTCGAAAATGGAAAAGGGCGCGCGCCAAGATCTTCGCTCGTCGGAGGGAGGCCGTCCATACCATAATGTGGAACAAAAATTCGTTGGGACGGATAAACAGTCATCACAACTATCTCCGCGAACAAGATGGCGGAAGCAACGACAACGAGGTTTCCTCCGGACGAAGGAACACCGCAGGCGCACCTCGGACCGCCGCCACACGTCACCCCTAACAAGCGAGCTAAATGAAAGAATTAAAAATCAGTGTTCGCTTACCAAATCCAAAACGGGCTCGTTTTTCGTGTTCGATTCGTCTACCGGGCGGACGTCGTCTTTCACGGTTAGATATGTTTATCGTGAAAACAGGCAAAAATAACGTCTAGTCGCACAATCAACGAATAAATGACGTCGCGTGAACGGTCGTAAGTCGCAACAACAAAAACGTTTGGTTCCCTTCTCCCTCGCCCGTGCTCACCACCACCTGCACGTCCACAACCGTCACCGACGCATCCCCACCACGTGCCGTACCGCGTCTTTTTCGCGTACACGCGGCACGCATGCGCAAACAGGCGTGTTTGCGGTGACATCGCAGTGCTGCCAACGTAGAAAGCACGGTCGTGTTTTCGGCGGGACGTTTGACGGAAGGCTTAAAGTTAGGCTGAAAGTCACAGTAGCACCGACGTCGGTGAAAATCACCCGATTATATTAAATAAAGTAAATATTAAGGAAAATTCACACTAGTCAGATACGTACCGACAGACACCGTGCCATACCGTTCGAATATACGTACCGACCATCATTGTTCCCATACTTACATCTTCGCATTACATTTATACATTTTATGCAATGATTTTATAATAAAGCACCTCCACTAAACTACCTTTTTAAATTTTTAAATTTTATAAAATTTGCCAAAATTTAAACTTTAAATGCTCAGATTGTAAAAATCTAATACAAATTATAATTCTCTTATGACTATAAATATCTCAAAAGAAAAAATATTTTTAAAATGTTATGGTGTATAGAAATAATATACCTAACAGCTGAATGTATTATATATTTTAGTTAATATTACCAGGTATGCCTAAAGAGTTGAAATATTTTTCCAGCAGGATTCTTTGTACACATGATCACTATATTTTCTATATGACAATGCAGAGACATTCTTGATCTCTGACGAGTTCAATTAATAATTCTAGGTTCATCACGCATGAGAAATATAAAAAAGTGTAATTAATGAAAACTTTATAAGTATTGACTGTAAAAGTTTGTGAACGCGAATAGTTTTTCAGTGAATATTAACAGCAAACGAATTTATCTGTTGTTCATTCGCAATTATCTTATTCATACAGACCTGTTCAAACCGGATCGGACACAAGACGTCCCGACAAAACATTCTCGCGCGAAATGCTGGACCGACTCTGTCGGATCTGTATGTGAATGAATGGAATGGAAACGTTCAAATGTGAATTACCTAAATCAAAACACATAATAGAATATTTTACGGAACAGTACGGTAGGTACGGTGTCTGACTAGTATGAATCATGCTTTATACAAGTGGTTTCAGTGCTTCCGACAGCATCGACCGATTATACCGAAGTCGGATATCCATCGGACAATATTCAAATTTGTTTGTTTTTATCGGCCGATTCAGTCGACGTAATCAATTCAAACACGAATATTATTTTATAATATTACATTTTCATCATGGTCTGCAAGAAATGAATAAGTTTGGTCCATGAAAGATAGAGCTCGTGGGACCATAGTAGTAAATCTTCATGCTGTTCTAATAATTGGTGAAACAATGTATGGAATTCTCCATATTTTTCCCTATCCTTAAAAATGTCATTTGTGTGATACTTTCGATTTTTTAATAATAAATATTTAATAGTAGGACTTGTTTCTAAACACAAAAATGAGAAAACATCGATTTTATAAATTCACTCATTGCAACTAAATGAACAACTGTCGGCCAATTGTATCGGCCGACGTCTGAGAAACTGTGACTATCCTAACGGCTGATAAGATCGGTCGACGTCTGACAAAAATTATCGGCCGACCGACGTCGGTACCATTGTGACCGCAGCCTTAGTCTTTTTTAAGACGAGGCCACATAAACGGTTTTTATTTCCACTAAGAAAATTGATTTCCTGTCAACGTCTCCGCCACATAGCGTTTCACATAAAGGGCCGGTGAGCTGGCCATGATGACCGTTGCTGTGAAGATCGCTCTTAATAAATATATTTCTGAATATCTTACTTACTTCACGTAAAAAAATATGTCTTTTCATTATGTTTATATATATAAAACTCTATCATAAAAATATTTAGAAAAATAATATTGTAAAAGAGCAATTATACCATTTTATGAAATGGAATTTGAGGTAAAGGTAACCAGAAGGCGTAATAGATTTGTATACTAATAACATTTTAGGCACTTACAATGATGATTATAATTAATAATAAATTTGTACTTACCAAAAGATGAAATTTTTTTTCATCATTTCAAATAATTTCTAAATGTATATTTATACTTAATTAATCCAATGTACCAGGGGCGGATTGGCCTATCGGGAAATCGGGAATTTTCCCGATGGGCTGGTCCTTGTTTGGGCTGCTCTATATTATTATATAATCACCAAAAAAAGTTTTATTTTGTAAAATAAATAAAAATTATTAAAAAAATAAATATATATTTAAAGATGCTTTAAGATCAAACTTCAAGTTCAAGTTGGAACTGATTAAGTTAGATAACTTACCGAAAACTATTATAGCTATGATTATAGTAAAGTTATTGTAGATTTTACTAATTTAGAGGTGAAACTAAACAAATTTTGAAATTGATGCAAAATAAAGCATATTTTTTTTATTTTTTTTTTTTTTTTGAGGGAGGAGGGGTAAAATAGTTTAATTTGCAATTCATGGGCCGGTTGGTTTCATATTTCCTGGGCCAAAAATAATTGCCAATCCGCCCCTGCAATGTACCAACTATTTTTATTCTTAAACTGATACTTGTAAATATTAATAATAAGTACGTTTTTATAATAATTTAAGAGTATTTTTATAAATATCTATTTAACATTGTTGACCCCCAAACCAAATCATAGACCCGTCAAGGCATATGCCCTGCTGCGCTTTTCTGACTTAACAGTTTATACTGTAGGTACGACGATAACCAGTGGCGTATTTACGGGGGGGGGGGATGGGGGGGAGGGCCCCCCCCTTGACCTTTTTTTTTTTTCCTAGGTAGCTATAAGTTGTCTCATTTTCTCTAATATTCTTAATATGATATTACTTTCAAGCATGTATGTTTTCTGTTTTCTAAATGTTCTAGTCGTGGTAATTGTACCGCTCTGATAGTCTGATATACTAATCGTCACTAATCGTTTATCGTTGGCGGCATGTACGACTATCAGGCAACAAAAACTATACCTATATTATGGTGTACTGTATTTTGTACGTTTCTGCGAATTATTTTTCATGCAAGAGTGTTTATAATAAACCCGATTAGCAATCGGTAAACAAAACAAAATGACCATGAAGACCGTGGATTAACCATAGGGCGGCCGGGCGGGTTTATTTTTAAAAAATTTGTTACTAGTAGATTTATGGCTAATGTATAGCTAAATATATATATATATATATATTTTATCGTATGATATCGTGATTCGTTAAAAGTAGATATGTACGGTCGTTGGACGTTGACGGATAGCGACGCCGCGTCATTCCGAGTACTGACTTACTGCCGAATTGACTATTGTTCGACTTTATTTTTTGCGTCTTGTAAGTTGTAACTGTGAAGTTTTAAGACAATATGAGTAATACTCAAAAACAAAAAAAAAACTTTATTTTCTTATTTTAGTACAAATAAAAAAATTTGTTTGGAAAATGATGAGGTAATTATAAAGATTAATTCTTATTTTGCCTTGATCCACACTAACCTCAATAGGTAACAAGTTAGGGGATTTTAAAAAATGTGTATTATGTACGAATTTATGGGTGTTAGGATGTATTATTATATATTTCATCCCCCCCTAGCAAAATTCCTAAATACGCCACTGACGATAACTGACAACAGTGAAAAGAATAATTTTCGTGTCATCGCTATTCTACGACAATCGTTGGTTCGCGTCAATATGCATTTTACCGTTTGATACATTCTGCTTATCAGTACAGTGATTAATTTATAGGAAACTGTCTACAGAGGTTTATTTAGGAATATTTCGTGGAGGGGTTCAGCTAATTTTCCAAAAATAATTAAGTGGAGTAGCAAGGCCCCCACACCATCCAGCATTAAACTTAAATATATTTCCATAAAAACAATAAAATATGCCCTAATGCATATAAAGTTAAATTTGTCATAAAATACAAAAAAAATTAAAATTAAAATAATTATTAATTATTAAATCAGTATTAATCAGTATCACTTGAAAGACATTTTCTGTTTACGAACCTGCATGTTAGGACATTAGAGAAAAATATACATTTTCAACAAAATCCCTGCCCTACTAATTACCAATTATCTGTATATAATATTGCTTGTTCTGTCAGAAATATTAATCATTAATAATAATTATAATAAACAATAATTTATAGACTATTTTCCAAGATTCATAAATTACATCCAGCTCAACAAGCTGCTGTCAACAATAGCTCACAAAATATTCTGCTAAAAACGCTAGAGTATAGGAAAGTAAAAAAACAATTTTTGATGAACTTAATTCCATCAGGCATTTTTGAATAAAACTTTTAAAAATATTACACAGTATAATATGGTTCTTGTACACTATATTTTTGAAGTATATTAGACAGAGATGTAATTTTGCCCACTATTTTTGATTTTGACCTGCACCTTGTCCAAAAGTGGACAAAATGGACAAAATTTATAAAATAGATAAAATGGACAAAACCTTGTAACTTGTAATATTATAACTCAATACAGTGATGGTTTTACGAGGGGGCGATAGGTGGACCACCCCCTTGAGCCGTGTAAAAATTAAAAATATGAATGAATAAATCGTTTACTAAAAATCGTTTTGACGATAATTTTACTGTTTATAAAAAAGTTTGCTGTATAATTTTTTTATTGATATTTGTATGTTATGCCATTATGGTATAAAGTTTATAGAACTTAAAATTACTTCTTATGTATTAAGCAATAGGAAAAAATAAATGGGATATGTATGCAAATTGTAAGTACATGCAAAATATTTTCACCCCTCCTCCCTTCTTGTGGCTTCTCAAAAACCACCACTGACAAAATATAAAGCTTCACAAAATTACAACGGGGTTTGACTGATTTTGACCGGTTCAAATAAAATAAATGTAATATTGATACTAAATTGTATCCTTTTTCTATGTATTTATTCATCAAAGGTAGGCAAGTTAATGAAAATAATTAACTCGAGTTAAGAGAATACAAGATCAATAAATTAAAAGTTAACAGTTAATAATTCATAAATTTAACTTGATAAGTTAAAACTGAATAAGGAAAAAATATTAACTTAACTCAGTTTAAAAAAGTTATATATAATAAAGTTAGTTAAATTTAATTATAATAACAATTTTATTGAATTTTTTAATCATAATATACAGCAGTGACGCCGAAGTGTTAGAAAAATACTATGACATTGTACATCAAGGGGCCATTCAATACCGTATTTATCTTTATAGTTGACATTTTTTATACCTATTTAACATTCTGTATCCACGGCCAGAACCCAATACCCAAAAGTGAGCCTCCAACCTGCAAAATCTAATATGACATCTAATATACAGTATATGCGACCATTTTACTTTACATGATTATTTAATTTTTATATTAATATTTATAAACGAAAAATTTTTAACTTGATATATCATTTTTAAATGAACTGTGAAAAGCTAAGTTATTTCAACTGCCAATTAAACTAGTTAAGTTAAAAATTAAAAAAAAAAATAACTTTTTAACTTAACTTTAATTTTTTAACTAGTTAATGCCCTCCTTTGGTACTAATGTTACCATTATACAATATCATTATATAACCAAATGTCATTAGTAAGGAACGGATTTATATGTAAATACATATTTTTATTAAAACGAGATATTTAAAATTTGATAAGAAATGTTCATGATTTAAATCATTCCTATTAATATGATGCTATTTTTATTTTACATATTTTTACATATTTCACTAATTTGTAAATATTTTTAAACATATTTTATTATTTCATCATTCATACGTCTTCTTCGTACAAAAATACAAAAAATTATTTCAAATTTAGATCCAGAACTTTTATCGCTATTAGAAAAGCTCAAAATATTATGCAAAATGAAACATTGAAAACAAATTTAATTTTCATCTTAGTGAATTTTAGTTTTATTGCACATACAATTACAAAATTAGAAACAAAAATATGTCCTTGAATGAAAGTATGCAAATTGTCGAATCAACGATTGCAAAATGAAAACTCGTAAACGGACCAATAGGAGAAGTAGTAAAAAAGAAAATTCATGTTTTTACAGAAAAAATTTCAGGCCATATTGATTTTAAATCAATTAATGACATAATTAGTGGCAGACACCCTTCTAAAAATTTGGAATTATCGCCTTCTAATATTATGCCCTTCAAATATGCTTAAATCAACCGATGTAGGTTGATGTGGAACGATCATTTAGCCGTTTTAAAAATATTTTCAGATTTAATAGGCGACATTTAATATTTGATAATTTAAAATATATTGTAATAATTCAATGCAACAAATCATTTTGGTAATTTAATAATTATAATTTTTTTTTTTTTTTAAATTTTTTTCCTACATATTTGGATGGTTTTAGTACATATTTTATAAATTATACTTACATACATATGTACATATTTATGTATTTTTATTACATATAAATCCGTTCCCTAGTCATTAGTGACTAGTTGTCAGTTGATACAAGCAGAGCTACACTTAACAGTAATGTGCCAACTGTAAACAGAGTATCTATTGGATAAGTTTGATCAATTTATAATATTATTCAGTATTTTTTATTAATTAAGTCTTAATTATTGCAGTAAGTTTTAACATTATATTATAATCGTTAGCGCTACATGCCATAATGACCCTTGGCTTCCAAAACAGTTCTTCACTCATTCCGATCTTTAGCAATACTTTTCCAGTTCTATTTGTTGTAGATCCTTCTTTACTTCGTCTATCCATCTACTCCTCGGTCGTTTTTGTCTTCTGGTCCCTTCTATTATTGCCAACATTGCGAGTTTGGATATATATTTTTAACATTAAAATATAATTTGTTAGTTAAAAACTAGTTTTTATATTTTTTTATTTTATTTATTTTATTTGTTAGTAAGTCAAGTTAGACACTTAAAATTGTTATACTTGTAGAATTTAAAAGTAAGGTGAAAAGTCTTACAAAATAATAATAGATTAAAAACTAATTAAAGTTATGGGGGCTGTAGCTCCCCAAAAATTATTTTGTATATTAGATTATATATTATTAAACTTATTGTTTTGTCGCATTACTATGATAAATTATTATACATTTTTCAAATTTTATTATTATGTTTGATACACATTAATAGTTCAATATGATAGTATATGATGACGTGTATATTTTTGTAGCAATCGCTACAATTATTTCGTTGAAAAATTTTAGATTAATGGATACTAGCGTATTCTACTGGTATGAGCGTCAGTGCATACCAATGGTTGTAATCACAGTAAATTATAAAATTTAATGCAAGCCACAAGATATACATATTATTTTATTTTAGTGATTTCAGGCAACAATTTTCACCAGCCTACGAACGAATACTATCATCTATAAAGTTTAACACGTAATTATACAATATTGTTGTGGAATTTAACTGTTTAATATCCACTGCACTACTGCAGTAGTACAATTACGCTCGTTGCTTTGTGTGTACGTACGCTTATGTATATTGGTATACTGGGTTCGTACTTACACATTACGGACGTGTCATTGGTTTTTTTTTGTTTTTTTATCATTACATCCAAACATTCAATGGATATTATGCACAGAAGATGAGAAAATGTTCGTTGTTCATTTTAAAATACAGATAGGAAAATCGAGTAACTTTCCACGGAGGTAAGCGGCAAGAACGTGACTGTAATATAATAATATAAGTACAATACCACGTAGATTATTTCCTAGTTTATATTAAAGATAGAAATAAAAAATGGAAGTATAACTTTTTGGAAATCGATTGATAATCTTTAAAGTTTTAGTCAATACAACAAATATTTTTCTGATGGCTCACGCATAAATATTGTTTTCTTTGATAAATTATTTTGTGACTTAGAGATACCAACTGTTTGAGTACTTATTTCGTATATTCATTATAATGAATATCTTAATAATTGGATTGGTATGATTTCATTAATGAAAAACATGCTATTTTAGTTCCATAAGCCCTTCAGTTTTTACACTTAGAAAAATCAATACTAATTCAGAATAACCAAAACTTTGACAGTTTTTTTTTGCTTGTGTCCTCAAATTTTACTATTTCTTAAATGTATGTAATTTATGATTGTACCCTTGAAGATTCAACTATAACATTATCCTCTAAATAATGATAAAAATACTTAAGCACTGTTTACTGTTTATTGTTTATATTATTTTTAAGAATATATTTCATTGATCTAAACATTAAAATTCTGTTTTAATAATTCAATAATTACAAAAGAAGAATAAGAATTAGATTGTTTACATTAATATAGAATATCATAACCAATATATCCTTTGTAGAACCCTATCCAATTAAATAGTTTTTTAAACTAGTTATATCATATTCAAATTTAGTTTTTTTAATTTTTATTTGTAAGTAGTTGTAAAAACGTAATGCAATCAAATATTAATTATATCAAAATGTAAAAAAGTAACAAGTTAAAATAAAATACAAATATCTGTCAAAACTGACTTAGTTTAGATTTAAGCACATTGTATTCAATAAATCTAAACATTGTAAGCCGGAAAGTATTTTTAAAATACACCAATTACAGCTAGTGATTATGGAAGGCTAAAAGGATGTAGGATTTAGACTTTTGTAAATTATTTTATTTATTTTTTAACTCAGTATCGTGTCAACAAAATTTTGGCCGTGGATCTGGAAGATAGATATTTTGTGCCACCTGTAAACATTGCAGATATATTTATATGTATTTGAAGTTAATCAAATATATTTTTAATGTGACATTTTATTAAAATATGAGACGTTAAAGTTTATAAGATATAGGAAAAATAAAATACGAGTATTATGACCATCTAAGATAATTACCTATATATAGTTATAAAGGTATAAAATATAATATAAAATATTTAATTTAGTGGGAAAGTAGATTTATTTATACCTGATGTAATTAGAAATCTGATAATACGTTAACTATGTTACCTAAAAAATAATTATTAAAATATAATAATAATTTATAAATATTAATATTTTTTGGAATTCCATTTTATTATACCATAATAACGTAAAATATTATAGAAGAACAGGGATTAGAAACTACTTACAACAATTCGCCGGTTGTATATTGTTTACATTAGTGACTCATATTGTTTTATTCTATGGTTTTATGATTATTATTTTTTTTTACATAAGTATTACCATTGGATATAGAATTGATTTTATAATCAATGTATATAGAATTGATTTTATAATCAATGTTATCACAATGATGATAACAAATCATAACAGAAAACAATCCAATAAAATTAAATAATACCTAATAAAACTACAGATATTTTTTTTATGTACGAGTTATGCAGTTGGTATGTAAACTAATGAGTAGAGATCGGATTTTAAAGTAAATTCTTCTTTTTTATAAATAAGATAGATCTCTAATTTTTAATTATAAATTCGTTTCACGTCTTTCTGTTTCCAAATAATCAAATTTATTTTGGCTTTTTTTGTGTAAACGTTTTTTTTTTCTCGGTTATTTTTTTTCAGTTATTACTGCTGTGGAATTTTTATATGTTTATTATACTAAATTAATAAAAAAAAATTATATTTAATTATTAAGTAATTTGAATATCTGGATTACTGACTGAATGGTTGTATTGTATTATTATTGTTTTCGGCTTCTTTGTTAGATTTATTAAACGTATAAATGTTCGATCTGCAGACAAGTTAGATCATTGACAAAATGTATAAATATTACCTTAGATGCAGAAAAGAAGTTAAATATACTAATGAAGATATTTCAACTGCAATTTCGGTTAAACTAAATTGTGTTCTTTTGAAAAACAAAGGCTGGAAACAATTAAAAAACATTAATAATATATTGGTGGCGTTTAATCAAATAAATTAATTATCAAAGGTTAGATTTAAACGAAACCTCTTGCGTGAAGTGTGTACCGATAACTTCAGTGGATGTAAAGCATTCGTTTTCTATGTATAAAAACATTCTTTCAGATAATAGAGACAGTTTCACTTCTGCAAATCTTACAAAATAGTAGTTAATTATTTTTTTAATTTAATTAATTTTTTTTATTTAGTTTCATACCTAATTCGTTTTAGTTTTTGGGCATGCTTTTTTAAAAATAAATATGCTTAATCTTTGCTTTTTTAAGACAATTTTGTTATTTATTATGCTTTAAAATCCGAGCCCTATTATAATACAAATATTAAATTATTTAACTCAAATTATTGAAATCAATTTAATTTTTAAATTATACTTAAAGACTTAAATTATTTTTATAATTAAAACATTTATAAGTATAAATTATATAATTATACTATTATATTTCCAAAATTATTTAAATCAAAAATAATATTTTATAAAGATCGATTGTCGTGACCTATTTTTTATGGTCTCTTAAATTTCATTAAAGCGATTTCTACTATAAATAAAATCAATAACATATCTATAATTTTCCAAACATTTAACACGTAATAGTAAATCTAAAAACAAATATGAAAAAATCAAAAATTTGTAATTTTATAATTGGTGACATCAATTTTTAATTTTAGATTATAAAAGTAAACAATGATTACAACAATATTATTGAGTAGTATAATAATATAAGATTTTCAAAATTGCAATAAATTGACGCAGAAAATTATATAATGTCTATGTTATTAAAATACGTATTTAAAAACTATATAGCTATTCATGGAAATACGATTGGTGAAAGCGTACCTGCATATCAACAATGACATATTTAAGTGGGGCGTTAGTGGGTCAGCTAATCTGTATAGTATTCGTCAAAAATAATCATAAGTATTTCCTTGATGATTTTTTCATGTCGGATACTTTTGGAATATTTAAAGGGTAAATTAAGATTTTATAAAAAATTAGAAAAAATATAAAATTAAACTTAAAACATCACATGATTAATGAATATTGTATCTTATTATCGAAAAAATAAAAGTTCCAAGCTAAAATGTTAACACTTTATTAAAATGGTGAATACATTTTTTTTCGTTAAATGTATTGGTCTTCGTATAATTTTAAAACAAATGTAATTTAACTGTGAATACTATTTTATTTTATTGTACCTATAACATAATTTCTTAAAATCAAATTTACGTGTAATAAAAGCGAAAACATTATTTTAATTTTTAGTAAAATACTCTTATTCCGTGATCTTTAAATAAAATAATTTGTGTTGTAAATTGTAAATAAAATGTTTGAAACCAATAATATTAAATCATAAGTCAATTCTGTTCAATTTTTTATTAGAAATATTAAGTAGGTTATTTCAAGCACAAAAATTATATTTCAGTATTAAATTTTATCAAATATGCCAATTATAATTTCACTTATTGTTTAGATTTAATATAATTCCAAATAAAGAAAAAAAATTGTATTTGTCTAAAGATTTGTCATACAATTAATTTTTAGTTGAGGTGGCATGTACGAGTTTGTATGCGAGATCCCCACTGCTTATATTTAATTATCATTTCAATTTTTTGTGCAATAAATCCATATAGGTAATATGTGGCTTTTAGATTTTTTTTTTTTTTTTTTGTAATAAAAATCGATTATTCGAAATAAAATAAAATAAATTTATTTTTACTCGTGTGTATGTGTGAATACAAATCATACTCTTCGTTGTGAATATTTATAATAAAAACATATTTATTTTAATTTCAAAGCACCCAAGCAGTAATTTAGAAAAAAATAACACTGAGGTAAGTGTATATAATGTAAAAAAATAAGTAATAACACGATTACTACAATAAATATTATCTATAATTTATAACCATTATTTATTTGTTATTAAGTTAGGTACTAAAATAAATAATAATATTAATATATTTTTTAGCAAAAAATAAATTTCATATTTATTTTACATTTTTCATCCTTAAATATTCAGTTAAATAACTAATACCAATATTATTCTTTTAATACAGAAATATATTTGTTAGATTTTACAATTATTACCTCACTGTAATCTATATAAATATCATTTACGTCTTAGAATGATCGATATTAAAATTAATTTGTGTTTGAAAAATGATTTATTAAAACAAACACACTATTTTCCATATTAGCTACCTATGTAACTTTGTATTTAATGTATACAGTGTTTTTCTATAAATTAGTATTCGAAAAAATAAAACTTACCAATTTTAAAGATTATTTATTTACTATTTATACATGAAAATTGTAAATTTTTGAGTTTTAGATAATATTCTACAAATGTGTGTTAGTGTTACACGTATAGCAAAATATAGTTTATAATTAGTTTATATTTTAAAAATAAACCAACGTTTATACTTGTAGTTAATAACCAATAGAGTATTAATTAGATTCAATATATTGACTGATTAGTAAATTATTACATATATGTCACAGTAGCCAGTAGTTAATAGTAGTATTTCAATTATAATTCCAATAACACGTACTAAAAATGAATACGAATAATGTAGATTTCGTATTGTTTATAAACTGGATATAGTTGAAGAGACTAACTTTCTCTAAAGAGAACGGATACGACTTAAATATATGAACGTCACCAATTGACTAAATATAATTATGCATATAGTGTAAAGTGTATATATTAATATAAAATATTATATGTTACAATTTATGACACTACCCTCTTAAGAAAAAAGTTGTAAATTACTTTAAAAATATTTTTATTTTTTTTATTTATTTCAGAATATTTGTTATCCCAAGGTTCATTAATGAGTTTTATTAGATTCTATAGAAAACTAAATTTTATTGAGTTATTTGTAGATTAAATAACAAAATAATTCAGAAAAAATAATTTTTCTTGAAATTATTACACTGTTACGACTTGATGCCTTAATAGGACAGGTGTAAATTATTAATTTTAAAATTTTTTTTCGGAAATATAGAATTCGTAATAGTTTTATAAATGAAACAAGATAACTAATAATGTATAGAGTAAATATAAAAAAGTAATTCTTAAGAAAAACGTGACTTTTTGACTTTTTAAATTTAGGTTGTAGTTAAATATATTTGTACATATACGAGTATATTTATTGAACGTTTTATGCAATATTATACATTTTTAAATTTATAAAGAATATATTAAAGATTACTTAAGTAAAATTATAACTCAATTTATTAACAATATTTGTAATATTTTTATACTCTATTATAAGTTTAGTATAAATAAAAGTGCTGTTGATATTTGGTATTTAAGTGGATAAATTTAGAATAAAAAGTATTAAACTCGACCTTATACTTGATATAGATATAGATATAGTACAAAATATGTTTAATAATATATGAATATTAGTATAATTATATTATAAATTACCTAAAAGAAATAAAAAAAAAATTATTTAGAATTTATGTTAATAGAAAGTTACGATAATGAATTAAAGGTGTGACTTTTTTAGGAGTAAAAAAATTCACTTTAAATTTAGTTTTAGTAAATGCATTTTTTATACGTATATTTATATTAAATAATCGAGTATCAATGATCATTTCAAACATAAATGTACATAACCACAAAACTTCATAATAGATGTCTATCATATTAAATATTATAAACAATTGGTAACTATAAAATTTGATTGGGAAATATGCATTTTAAGTACCCATTTATATTTTATTATCACAATTTAATACATCTCAACAAGTATTGTTAGTTGCTATAATCATTATTAAATATTTAAATATCAGTGGGAAGGTGGTATCTAACAATTGATAATAAAAGTTTATAAATATTATCCAAGTAAGTTTAAGTAATATTTATTCTGCAGTGTTTGAATAATAGAAACATTAATGCTCTTATTTTGTCACAGATTACGTATAATGTCAAAGTTAAAAGTTATAAATAATTTAATTTGTCATAATTGATGGCCGTTTTTCAATTTTGTTTTTATACAATTCCACCCACCACCGTTTCGCAGTCAATCTTCTTTGACAGTGTACTCGGACGTACTATAACAATTCTATAAGAAATAATTTCGCTCGATTATAATTATTAAAATTGTGCCACACGACCGACCTTCGGTTCGATTCAAGTCATCCAAATAATCCTATTTCTACATTAATGCCAACCTATAATCGGACGAAGGCTGATAAAAAACCTTATCATTTGTCATAACAAATATTAATAAATAAATATTAGATAACATTATTTTAATAACTGTAATAAAAAATAACACTATATTTCACAAAAAAATCTAGTTGTCTTCTAATAATTTATTTACTCAAACGTTCTTAGATAACGCCTAAATTAATGATGTAATTTGGTTTTATGACTATGCTTAATATTAAGTGTTTAATTTATATGTAGTCGATAACAAAGTTATTAAATACTCTATGTTTTTTTGTGTAAAATAATTGTTAGTTTAATGTTTTTTTTTTTTTGTGTATTAGCTTATAAAAAAAATTTGTAAGTTGAAAGCTCTAAACTGTGGTTTGCAATTTAAAATGTTGGAAGAAGATGATGAATGCTGGTAAGTATGCAAAAATACCGGTTTGTATCAATACTGATGATGAATCTTGTGTAGGATGAAAGACTTAGAAAAAGCACTGTGTGAGAAGGACATATCTCCACAAAGTGAAGATTCTGAACGTTTTACTGTTATTGCGAATGAATGTAGGGGTCAAGTATGGCGTCAGTTATTAACTCGTGATGACGATACAATTACAACTTTGTTGGATGAGAGACCAATTATAAAAAATATTGAACAGTTAGAGGTTGACTGTCAAATGCTGATTGGTCAGTACAAAGTCAATTTAAGTATTAAATAAGTACTTATATATATATATATATATATATTGATATGTTTAGCTTCATTAGAGATAGAAGATGAAGAAGAAAAATTAAATTGTCTGTCAGATACTGAAGCTATATTGGTTACAATGTGTAAAATATATAACACAGATATATATGATTCAAATAAGAGATGGTCATCAATAATTCGTCCAATTGTTTCATTAAAATTACCTCGGATCGATACATATACAATGTTTCGTGCTATTGATGAAGAGTACATAGCTAAACATCAAGACTGTTATCATTTACTACGAATATTGTTATTATATCATGATCCAGAATTGTGTAATTTACTAGATTCTTTAAAAATAGGCCCAGAACATTATAGTGAATCATGGGTATCTATTATTAATAATTATTATTCATTATAAGTTATTTCTATTAAAAAGCAATAGATCATAATAACTATTTACTTATAATCTTATTGATTTTATTTTTAGATACAAACTTTATTTGCAGAAACATGTTCTTTAGAAGTAATACTAACTATTTGGGATTTTTACTTAGCAAAAAAAGATAGATTTTTTATATTTTTTTTGGCTTTAGTGTTCATTATCAACGCCAGGTACATAGTTTTACTATAGATATTGAAAGTATAGTATGTATAAGTATGCATTTAAAGTGACAACATAGAATTGGTTTTTTAGGGATCATGTGTTTTCTTTAAAACATCAGCCTAAAATTCAATTAATTGAAATACTTGGGAATTTACCAGCACAATTAGCTATAGATGATATAAATGATTTTTGGTCTTTAGCAGAATATTATGATAAGAAAACTCCTTCATCTTTTAAAAAGGTAAATTAATAAGGGTTTTTAAAAGCTATGCTATTGATTTTATTCCTGTGATGATTTTTAGGATGTTGCTGGATATATTTTTGATCACCAATTACCAGATAAAGGAATTTCGCAAATGTTATGCCTTCCTATCAGTGTGGAAGAACTGATATCTCATACAAATAGAACAGTTACTAATAGCTTGAAGTTTTTTGTGATGGATTGTAGACCAGCAGAACAATATAATTTTGGACACTTACCAATAGCTTTTCCTTTAGACAGTACTTTAGTATGTACCTTTTTATAGTTGTATTAAAATTTGTTTATGAAAATAAAAGATGTATTTTATTTTTCAAGCTTTTGGAAGATCCTGTTTCTTTTTGGACTGCTGTTGAAGGTCTATTATCATGTCAAAAACAAAGCTTTGCTGAAGGTCGATCAGGTGGAGGAGAACATTGGTGTTTCTCTGGTTGTGGAAGTGGTTTAGATGCTAATCAAAATACTCACATGGTTGTTTCTGCTTTTCTTCAAAAACACTCTCTTTATGTTTCTATGTTGATTGGTGGTTATCAAGGTTTGTAGGTTTCTTCATATTGAAATAAAAAACTTTATCGAAAAAAAATAAAAAAAATATAGTAAATTATATATACTAAAAAATGCATGAAAATTCGAATCAATAAATTAAAAATGAACTAAGAATAAATAAGATTATAAATACTCTATTTTAAACATATTAAAAATTTGTTGTCTTATTGTATTTCATAATTTTCACTTTATTAGCACTTCATGAATATTTTGAAAAAAACAATATTGATGGCTTGAGTGATCATGATCGAAATAAATGTTCCCAATGTTTACGTATTCCACAACAAAGTAAAGAGCGGTTGACTCAGACGAATTCAACTAATGAATTATTTTCTAAACTTGGGTATAAATTATCTTTCATTATTTAAGATTCTTTGTACAATTAATTAATATAAAATATTTATAGAGTGGCCATGAGATCAAAATCATTTGAAGTTAAAGGAAAATTAATGGATTTTTTGTCAAGTAATAACAATAGCACAAAAAATGAAAAAAAAAGTGGTAGTAGCAAGAGATATAGAAATATAGCACCTGTTTTTGCAATTGATGAGGATGATAATAATCAAGATTCAGAAGGTATTTTCATATTTAATAAATATATTTATAAATTATTTACAAATTGTATGAAAATAATTTGAAATAGATGAAGCAGCTCAATGTAATAGTATATCAATATTACTAAATAAATCTTATGTAATTTCATCGTTTGACTGTCAACACATAAGAAATGATGGAACATTAATTCCAGGGTAATATATCTTTTATTAACTTAATTGTTGTACAATGTTCTATTTTAAAATTTTTTGTGACTTTTTATAATTAGAAAATTAGTGTTGACAAAAAACAATTTAATCATAGTTGAAGTTGATTCAAAAGATTCTAATAAAATTAGTTCTTTGATAAATCATTCACTTGGAACAATTTTGAATATTAAATGCCGCAAAAAACGACCAGATTTAATTATTTTTGAATATTCTGGAAAAGACAGAGATATTGACAGGTTATTTATAGAATTATGTACTTTGATTTCTATATAATATGGTATAAATGAATGTAATATGTTTAGCTTTAGTTAACTGAAGTTTGTAATTTATTTCTTTTACTTGCAAAATCAATATATATTTTAGTTATTATATTCATTTAAAACCATATTCTTTATAATTTATAAAATAATTTAATTTTTTTTGTCATTTGATAAAATTTAGATTCATAATTCCTCAATCACAATCAGCTACTAATATAGTAACAAAGCAAATCTTGGATTTTATTGAACGAAATGAAAGCTGATAAAAGTTGTGAATCAAATAAAAAAAAAATTTATATTATATTAAAATAAAAATAAGTTTTTAATATTTTGTTAAAATAATTTATTATTTAGGGAAAATAAATTAAAAATTGCTCATTCATTTTAATGAAATGCATTACTATGCTAAATGAAATAAATCCATCCATGTAAAAAAAAAAAAATTATTGTGTATACTTAAAATTTTATTAACCTTAATTAATGTTAGAAGAGTTAAAATGTAAAACATTTTTTCAAATATTTATGTATTGAATGACCAACTTAGAATATTATTATTATTTATTTTATCGTATTGCCATATGTATAAAATGCATAATTTTTCACTGTTCAACATTTATTTAATACTATTAATTATTTAGTTAATTTTTGTTGATTTTAAATTAAAAGACATTTTAAAGTTGTTAAATTGTTTGTTTATTTAATTGTTTTGATTGTTAAAAAAAATCTGAAAAATTCATTTAGTTAAGTTTATTATTATATAGATTGAAAATTTATATGCCTTAAATTTTTCATATTCCACTAATCTATTAGAAATAACTAATTTGAAGTGCAAGTTTAAATACTTATTATTTTCTGTATTCTGCTACTGTCTTTATTGTTAGTTAAATTAATTTTGTAAGGAAATATAATATTTGTTCATGACTTGATGATTAATGATAAAATTATTTTAAAACTTTCAATATTTCCTTTGACTAAAAATTTGTTTTTCTTTATACTTTGTGGATAATTTTTTAAAAATTTTTATCTTTAGTTTCTAATATTTAAAAATTAGAACTTGTAAGTGATTTTTTAAATAAATTTCATATATTACCTATATTAGTTAACTATTTGTGTTATTTTCTTTTTTAATATGATAATAATTTATCATTAATTGTTATTCCATTCAGTGAAGTAAGTATTAAATAACAATAATATAAAACACATATGTATATTAATACTTAAAATTTTAATTACAAAATTATTTAACATAATATAGAATAATATTCTTAAATAAATATTTGAGGTAATAAATTAAATATTTTTTTAATAATAAATAAATATAATATTCTTAAAATCTAGATTTTTTATTAAATATAATAATCAATAATTGTATCATTAGCTTCTTGGTAAATGGTAATCATTATAATTCGTAGATTTGATATAGGTTTGATTAATTTACATCAAAGATATACAAATATTATTTATATCTTATAAAATGAAAAAAATATATAATTTTGAGCTTTGATCCTGCTGTGGTATTCGTATTAATAAAGGTAAGAAAAAATTTAGGAAATCTTTTGTTATTTATAGTAGTATTCCAGGACCCAGTTAAAAAGATATAGAATGGGCTGAAATGTACACACAGACATATATATAAGAAAGGTTAGGGGATCCCTTTCAAAATTGTAAGAAAATGTATATTTATATTTTTATATCCATACTTAAGAATTAATAGTTTTGGTCCACGAAAAAAAATAAATTAAAAAAAAAAATAGTTTAAATATTATAAAATTAATTATTATTTGATAATAATTGATGTTATTGTAGGCCTTAAAAACATAACCTTTCATAAAATAATTTTTTGAGTACATGGCGGGTCATTTGAATTAATATATCAATAATAAACAAGGTGGTATGGTAAATGTTAGGCAGTATGATTTAGAAGGTTGTTTACTAAGGAGTAGTATTATTGACAAGAATGATGTTGCTTCAATGTTTTCATAATAAAAACGTAAAAAGAGTAATATAGTTTAAGAATATACCGAGTATGTTTTACAGTGAATCCTTGAAGTTATTTTAAATAATAGAATAATACAAATATTAGTCCACATAATTTAAAGAAAAATGTTTACTTAAATAAATTATTAGGCTCTTAATTTTAATAAATCAGTGGATTACACATTGTGATTACTGATTTTAACATGGTTCAGTATTTATAATACATTTTTGAGGTGTTTGTGTCCATCCTTTCATATTTTCTTCATTTGAAACTTTTTCTGCATTCATCTAAATACATTCAATATAAATTAATTATGAAATATGTAAATAATGTCACGAAGAATTTAATTATATAAAAGTATTAAGAAAAATGTTTATAATTAATAACCAGTGTAAATAACTATTAATATACATTATTATTATTTAATTCATTATTTGTCATCAATTCAAATTTTGAACATAATCAATTTTAACTAATTTACAAATACATTTTTTTTCAATTCAGTTGAACTTGCTCCAGTGGCGTATACATAACTTTTGTATAGAGGGTGGGGGGAATCAGTTGCAAACAAATTATTATGGAAGGAAAATTCCTAAACCTAAGTAACTGCGCATTTAAATAAAATAAATAATAAAAAATATATTTGTATATATCAACATTTTGTTTCCTTATAATTTCCTTACATTAAGAACACTATTTTATGTAATTTTAAAAAGCCTATGAGGGGGATCTGATCCCCACATCCCCCCTCCTTGCATATGCCTGTAACTTCAATGGTGCAATATGGCTCAATGGTGCAATAACATTTTACAGTATGTGAGGTACTATAATTAAAACGAGATAGGGAAAAAGAGGTTATTCAAATTACCTATGATTTTATTACTCTATTTTCTCGCAATTTATACTTAAAAATTAATTTTTATTAATTTATTATTTTAATTAAAAATTAAAATATAAATTATTACTATACACAAAGAATGAAATTATTGAAATTATTATTAATATTCAGCAATTTTTTTTTTAAAAACGAGTCAATGGTTCCTATATGTTGATCAAATACTTTGTTTTACAAATGAACATGTGTAATGTGCAATTATGATTATTTTAATGATTACTGTTGTGCAAGTCTATGGAAAATATATCTCTAAATAAAGTATATTAATTTACAAGTCCAATCAGATAAACACATCTTTTAAATTAGCCTGTCTTAGGATCAATAAGACTCTACTGTTTATTTTTACTGTCTAAACTGATTCTATTTTCTAATTTTTACTTAATTCAAACAAATAACTGTTTAATTTTTAAAAATTACTCATTACATGGTTGAGTAAATCAAGAAATATTAGAAATTAATATTTTCTATCAAATATTTGCATTAATATTTTTCAATATGTTATAAAATGTTTCTATTGTAAAATATTTAATAACTAAACAATACTTACTTCTTGCATAATATTTTTATGGTAGTTTATTTCAAATTGATATTTAGGTGTAGTGATGCCAAAAAAGTTAGCAAGAGATTCACCTAGGTAATCAACTGTACTTAATGCATTGGAACCAAACGATGTAGTTTGCTTCATTATCCACGAAGACCAACTAGCCTAGGGATGATAATATATTGTTTAAAGATTTTATGACAGTTGAAAAATTAAGATTGCAACACTTACAGAGTCATCAGAATTAGTTTTCGGTTGTTCTCTTAATAAATCAATTTCGTCTGGTCCTGCAGAGTCCACACATCCATCGCTGAAGTATGTTTTGCATGGTTCAATTTGTATGTTAATGTCTTCCATGTCAACGAAATGTTCCTCCTGGAATAAGAAAATTAAAAGAAAACATACACTAAAAACGAATATTGCAATCTATATAACCTAACCTTTAACAACATTGGTTTCGAAGACATTATTTAAGTGATATTAATAAGCAAAAGTTTGACCATCACAGACATACATATACTTTGTTGAACTGACCTTGTAGGCTAGACAAATCAATATCGTTTGCTTATATTATTCAAAACGTTAAGAAAACGTTCGGGACCCGGGTAAATAATTATGTACTTCTAATATTCGGCTATGAAATTAGTCCGAAAACGTCACGCAATCATACATAACGGTTTGTACGCAAACAATAAACCGAACAAAAATTAATATAATAGTTAACTTGGCCAATTGTTAATCAAATGTTATCACACAATGGTAAATATTTATATGTTAACAATTTGGTGTTATGCGTACTGTACGTCAACAGTTATTAATTGCAATTGTATGTAATCAGTTATCATATCACAGAACATGTTAAACTAGAATGGACACCCCGTAAAATAATACAAATTTTTACTACTCTTGGGGGAGACTTTGAGATTTAACTGATGAGCTAAAAAAAAAAATCACTAGTGTTACCCCTTTAATTTTTTTTTTCAGTTTTACGTTACAATCGATCGTATATTTGTTCAACTAAATATTAATAATATTAATGGCATATTATTACTAATGTTGAAGAACTACAAAATATATATATTATTTTTTATTGGTACAGTGTAGACTAAAATTGTTTAAATATTCCTGAAAGGAACACATTTACCTATTTAATGAAAAAATGTTTAGAAAAGCATATTTATCAGAATTGCATTAAGTTGATTATTAAAAGTAATGGGATCATTTTCTTTTGTTTTCTCAAAAACGTCTTTAATTTTTACTAATGATCACTCAATATTGGAAAATTTAATGATGCTCAATAATAATTTTGGCAATTATATCAATGAATTAGATAACATTTTTTTTACTTGTATTTCTACTACTCCTAACTTTCCTTATTGCCTATGAAGATGGTATTCGGGCTAAGTAAAAACTATGCTTTTGTAATGTTCCTTTTAATCGTCATTGTAAATATTTTGAAGTCTTATTCGTTAAATTTGTTCACATCAGTGGCGTAATTGGTGGCCCGCAGACCATGCGTAGCGGAGTGGGGACCCACGGTAATTTGGGACCTTTGGTTAAAGTAAATTTAATTCCTATGAAAAAAAAATTGAATAATTACTTTTTTTTTTTAAATTAAATTAGCATTAATCTATATTTATAATAATCTATTATACGAAATATGTTCAGACCCGAGCGCTATAAAGAAATGGAAGATGCAATAATTAAGTCTTTTGAAGTAAACAATATACAAATAAATAAATGTAGAGGTTAAGGATATGATGGAGCAAGCGTAATGAGTGGCGTATACAATGGCTTGCAAAAACAAATTTTTAACCGAATGCTGTTTATGTTCATCGGCCACCCACAATTTAAATTTAATACCTACTGAATAATGCAATTTTTGTTCAACCGGTTCAGATATTTTTTGATAATATACAACAATTTTATACATTTTTTAGTTCAATTATAAAAATGTGGGATCTTCTTTTAAATATAAATTTAATAAAAATAAAATTTGAAGCAATCACGATTGCAAAAAAATGTGGCATAAATACATCATTTTAGAAAAAAGGAACAATCAAAAAATTTTTTTGTCGAACTTTGTACTGACCATCAATTAACTGATCCTGAAAACAAAGTTCATTGAAATCATTTATAATTGCACCAGTCGCGTGTCCATCAGATCAAACAGTCGAATCTCCAACATTACAAATTCTTGAACCACATATGATACAACAAAAAAACGTTCTTTATCGCCCAATATTGATGAATTAAATACATTTCCTGATAAAAGAGTAGATGAGAATATTAATATGTATGATATAGGCATGTATACGAATCGTTTGTTGAAGCCACACGAAATTGAAGAAATTCTTCAGCAAATCTGGAAACCTGAAAACAATTTTCAATTTCCAGTAACTGTGAGTTGTAAAAAAAATTTAAGATTTCAATTTTCATGGTTGTCTAAATTTACTTGGCTAGTGTATTCCTTAAAGTTTGATGGAGCGTTGTTTTGTAAATGTTGTGTTGCATTTGCTAATAACGAAGCAGGAACCAATTCCCAACCACTTGGTGCTTTAGTCAAAAAACCATTTCGTAATTGGAAACACGCAACTGAAACTTTTAGAAACCATTCCAGTTTACAATACCATTTAAAATGTTTATCAGACACTGATAATTACTTTAATATAAAAAAAATAATCAGTCATTATCTATTGAAAACCAATTGGATTCTAGTCATGCAAAACAAGTAATGGAAAATAGAAAAAACATTATTCCAATAATAGAAGCTATACTTTTATGCGGACAGCAAAACTTGTCAATCAGAGGCCATCGTGATTCTGGTAAAATTGAAGTAGAAAATTCGGAACCCAGAGAAAATGATGGAAATTTTCGTAATATTTTAAAGTATCGAGCACTTGGTGATGCCAATTTAAAAAAATTCCTTGAAAGTCCAGGTCGTATTAAATACATTAGTCCCACTAGTCAAAATGCCATTATTGATGATTGTAATTCTGTTTTACTTCCTAAGATTGTTAATAGAGTAAATAAAGCAAAATGCTTTACTGTTCTTGTGGACGAAACGGCTGACATAGCTGGAATTGAACAAGTTTCCATTTGTGCGCGCTATGTAAATCGTGAAACATGTACATTGCATGAAGATTTTTTACAGTTTGTACCGACAGCTGATTTGACTGGTAAAGGATTAGCTACCTTAATACTGGACAACTTAAAACATTTTGGAATCGAAACACAGTATCTACGTGGGCAAGGTTTTGATGAAGCAGCTGCAATGTCGGGTAAATATAATGGTGTTCAATATCATATAAAACAAGCTCATCCACTAGCCGTTTATATTCATTGTTCTGCCCATTCTCTCAACCTTGCTGTTTCTTCATCATATGGTATTCAAAGTATACGAAATTGTTTAAGAATTGTTGGAAAACTTCGGGATTTTTTTATATTTTCAAAACGTAAAGCTGTGCTTTCACTAGCTATTGAACAATCGGAAAATGTGTTATCAAAAAGATCATTAAAAAGAAGTTGTGAAACTCGGTGGATAGAGAGATATCATTCAATAAATGATTTTTTGGAACTATTCGAAAGCGTTGTAGAAGCTCTTGATATAATTTCTGAATGGAATGATACATCTGACACCTCACATAAGGCACAAAGTTTAAGAAATTCGATTTTACAATCAGAATTTATTATAGCATTGCATGTAACATCAAAAGTATTTGGATTTGGGCTACCAATGTCGAAACAATTTCAAAAGATCAATATTGATCTGAAGATGGCCATGAGTTTGGCTCAAGATACATCGGACGAACTAAATGCATTTAGGGAAAACGCTGATAGTGAGTTTCATGAAATTTTTATAAAAGCAAAAAATATTGCCAACAAATTTGAATCACCTTTAAAGATACCAAGAATATCTAATGTTCAAAAAAATAGAATGAATATTAAAACTGACGACCCCGAAAAGTACTATCGCATATCCATATTTATTCCATATATTGACTCATTTATTAATCAGCTCAAAACTAGATTTATTGACCATAAAACTATTTTAAATGGCTTTCAATCACTTTTTGACACAAAAGGAAGTGAAGATGATTTTATAAAATTAATTGATACATACAAAGAAGAATTCAATTCACCTACATCAGTTGTACTTGGAGAGTTCAATTTATGGCAAAGAAAATTAAGTAACATGAACGACAAGCCAAATAATGCAATTGATGCATTGAATATATGCAATAAAGACATGTATCCTGGTATATTAAATTTGCTTCAAATTCTAACAACACTCCCTGTATCGACTGCGTCAAATGAAAGAACATTTTCGAAATTAAAGTTAATAAAAATGTACTTACGTAATACTATTTCTGAAGTAAGTGTTAATATTTTATTCAGTAAAATATTATTTTTTTATTTGTGTAAGATTTATGTTTTTTTTTTCTAGAATAGACTTATTGGATTGTCTATGATGTCCATTTATAGAAAAGATTCTCTCTTACCAGAAGACATTTTAGATGAACTTAGTAAAAAAAAAAGACGTTTAGATTTTATACTTTAAAATTATAAAATATAATAAAAAAACTATTTTATATTCTTATAATCTATTAAAAACTATTTTTTTATATCAGTACCTACATATCTATATTATGTTGGAATTATTGGACCCCCCCCAGAAAAAAATTGAAAATACGCCACTGAGTACGTAAGGATGTGGTATATAAATGGAAGAGGTATGAAATATGGTGATGAAATATAAAAATGAAAAAACATCAAACATTTATTTTTTTAATAATTTATTAAAATTAATCCTTTAAAATTATATATATCTCTAATTATAACAATATTAGTAAAAAAAAATATCAATCCCTTAATGCAACAGAGTGTACAATATATATTTTTGCTATCCCATCTTTCGCCAAAACTAACAAACTGGATGGTTCGAGAGCACGCCACGTATAATTGTCCGTGTGAAAACATGACGTACTTAAATCTAAGCCACAGACAGACATCGTTTGGCCTTGAGACTTATTGATAGTCATTGCAAATGCCATTCTAATTGGAAATTGAAGGCGTTTAAATTATATTGGCGCATCTGTGGGTATAATAGGGATTCACGGTAATAATATTTTTTCATCTCGGAATTTGACATTTAAAATTATGGCTTCAATAACATTTTTCATTAATTTTTTAATGACTAATTGTGTGCCGTTGCACAACCGTAGTGGGTTCAAATTAGGTAGGAAAATAACCAGAGATCCAACCTTCAATTGTAAATTATGCGGTGGCATACCTGGTAAATCCAATGAGTTTAAAAACTCTGTTGGATAATTCACAGCTTCAGTAGTATCGCAAACTGTATCAATAGATTTGTATGACACCAAGTCTGCTGGTAACAAATGTATCTTGAGATTTAATTCGTTTTAATACGTCCATAATTTTTTGCTGCTAAAATTTCTCTTTCTGCCAGCCACTCATGATTTGTGTTTTTTCTGTGTAGTTGGGAAATATCTGGTCAATGAGAGCATCTTGCGAATCAATGATTGTGCAGAAATCGGTCAGTAATTGTATGCATCCCGTTTCATCTGTAGTAACTTTCCCATCATCGATATCTAACAATTGTTTTGAGAATCTTCCGCACGCAGCTTTTTTTGATTGAATCGCAAGTATCTTTACATACATGTCATCCATGAATTGTTAACAAAACTCACGACATCGTAGAATAATGTTGTCCTGATCGCATCTAATCATCAACCGATATGAATAATGTTCCTTCGAACTAATATTCTGTTTGTTTTGGCACCTGTTGCGGGATCTTGTTGTTTAATATTAATACCCGTCATTTAAAACCAAAAATAAAATTAATAGTTTTTAAATAGTATAATTTAATAATTAATTTTCAATTGTGCAGTTATCAACCGGGTCAAAAATTATTAAATTAAACTACGATGTATTAAACGATAGCACTTAGGAGTTTAAAAAACAGATAAGAACCTATTCGCAGACCTACCAAATGTATATACAAAATTTCATTAAAATCGGTCAAGCCGTTTCGGAGGAGTATGGTCAGAAACACTGTGACACGAGATTTTTATATATATAATTATTATATTATTTATACATATACATAATGATATTGTGAAAAAATTAAAAGCGAACATTTTTACGAGACAATTATTGATAATTTTGGGAAATATGCAAGACATTTATAGTTCCTTTTCCAGCAATAATAAAATTTAATCTAAATATTTTACTATCATTATAATTTTTATTAAAATGTCCATATTAAAATCATTTTTCCTTAGTATTTTTTCATCGGATTGTATGTTATATTTTATATGTTACGTAAAACTGTTTTAGTCATTGGTTTTCAAACTTCTAGTAACATGTGTCTCAGTCATGAAGAACATTTAAACCTTTTTTTTTGATCATTATTTAATATTTCATGAACCTTGACCCTCCCTAGATAAATGTTTGCGGGCGCCTATGTACATACATAATACTACAATACTGTACTCTACTAGTGCCGTCGGTACCGAGTAGAAACCACATGATTTTTTTTTATCGGGCATGATTTTGTTGGAGGCAGAGTCCGCCAGAAGGGCCAGTGCCCAATCGACCTCTCTCTTAAACATGCTCTTGATAATAGTTAATAAATGTTATTAAAATGGCGTAATAAAATAGGGAAGGGCCCCGGGGCAATAACTCAATTAGGCCCTTTAATTCTATCTATAGGAAAAACCACGTATTATACGTTATATTATACGTTATATTACTGTTTTAAATACTCGTATAAATACCTCTTATAAAACCATTAATGAAAATAATAAACTGATAGTTAATTAATACTCAAAATAAAAAAAGGAAATCCATTTAATTACTAAAACAAATTTTAAATATTATCATATTATCATTATTGATTTATTAATTCTATCTAACCAAATAAAATAAAATATAGTCTATCTAATAAAATTTACAATCTTTTACGAGCTTTAATATTAGAAAAGAAATCATCACTCCACTTAGATCTAATTTTGAAGCTTTATTGTATTCAATTGCAATCAATAACTATAATTTATAAAATAAAGTTAATCCCAAGTCATTGGACATTTTAAATAATTCGGTGAGTCCAGAGATCAAAGTTATTTTGAAACGGGTGTTGTCAATTTTTCATTCGATACTGTAGTTGTGACCTAACTATCATTAGATGAGTCAACATTTTCCGTTTCAGTACTATCAGTAGGTACTTATAACACATTTAGTTTAAGTTAAAAATGTATTCATTTTCGGCAACTTTTGTTTCATTTCTTCTCTTTGATGTCTCTGTTTTTGTTTATAAGCACCACTGGTTTTCTTTTATATCCATAATTTTAACTTTATCTTTAATACACTACTTGATGACAACGTTAAAAGCTATCGAAATAAAAAAATTTAGCGTACGCACTGCGCTACGAACACGATAACGTTACGCTAATGACTGAAAAGTTAATAGATTACGTGAACATAATATATTAATATGTTCAATAATATTTCACTCGACAATACATTATAGGCAAAGATGGAACTTGGAATTTTTACCCCTGCAGAAAATGTTAAAATTATGACCGATCATAAACCAATAATCAAATACTCCTCTCAAGAATTTATTATTAATAATTAATAAACGAGTACAATCATACTCATTGAGTTTTAACCTAATATGAGTAGGTATTTAACAAAGTTAAAAATATCAAATTAGTTGTACAAAAATTACACTCTCTAAAATTTTATGCCTGGGGATGAATTCCTGTCTTCCACCTCCTAACTCTGCCCCTGATTATAGCAAATAGGTACAATAAGATTGACAATAGGCTATTTTAGAATTTTTATTTATGTAGAAATTTCTATGTACGTCCTAATCGTAATTAAAGACAAACCTTGGTGGCCGTTGTGCAATAAGATAACGATTACTCTGTTGACGAACAGCGATCATTGCATATTGTAGGTCAGGGATGGCAAATCAATGGCATGCGAAAATATAGGACCTATAATATAATATAATATAAATAATTAACAAAGCAATATTATTATAATTATTATTATGTGCCTAAACTAACCTTTTTATACGAATACATTAATTACAATCAAATTATAATATAACAAAATATAATATTTTTAATATTTTTTTCATGGCACGCACTATAAAAAAAAAAAAGGTAATTTTGGGCATGCAGTGTTCAAAAGGTTTGCCATCTCTGTTGTAGGTATTATCATTGATTATAGAATATATGTATTCTATAATCAATGGTATTATACAATATTTATTTAAAAAAAAATCAATTTTTTTATTTCAATTATTTTACGGATATATTTTTAAAATTTACCAAGAGCTCCAGGGGCCCCGGGGCACTGCTCTGCTTTGCCCGATGATAGCTACGCCACTGGAACAAACGGTGGCTCAGAAAGCATATTTCAAACCCTAAACAAAGTATTTAAACAATGGCGCTGTATGTTACATATAAAATACACGAGGATCACTAGTAATAAAAAGTTATTTGATAAGAATATTTGTGAACATTAAGCGGGCCTCACACGATCAATCATGATAAAATAAATTTATTTTATCATGCGATAAGTAATACTGACAGTATTTTAGATACTGACAGTATTATTGATCGTATGAGGTTAGTACTGATGTACTGTCAGTATGAAAAAACAATACTGATGATTGATGAAAAAAATCGGATATCCAGTCGTCAGTATTTATTTACTGATGATAATATTGATCGTATGAGGTGTTGAATGACAGTTCATCAGTATTGATATCGTAGCGATGGAGGACACAAGTGATGAATGTCGCGAACGACAATCACCTGATTTTATTTTTCAATATAAATATTTTAATTGTTTATGGGATATTCGTTGCAAATACTATTGTAATAGATAAAAAAAAAAGAACAGCTAATAATGAATTATTAGTAGTCTTTAAGTTAATTAAGCCTGAAGTTACTATAGATGATGTAAAAAAAAATACTATATGAAGTAATTTTCATGAAAAATTAAAAAAAGTTCATGATTCTAAAAGAAATGGTTCTACCATGCTTAAAAGCTTATTATAGATGTTAAAATTAATTCGAAAATAATTCTGGTAGTATTTTACGTCAGAAAGCTGGATTTCTTTTAAAAAATTTAAATGACAATACTTCTTGCGTTTGGCAGTTCATTATTTTACCCATCGTTTCCTACAGTAGTGCACAGTAGATTTTTGACAAGGGTGTCGAAAATATATATTTCGAGATACCCACCCACCCCCAACAATAAAATCTGAGTTTAGGCATAACGTAATTCTTATTTTTAAGTGTTTTTGGTTTTTTCTTACTGATAAAGATACTAAAAATAAAAATTTTTAAAATACACCTAATATTAATCATTTTTCAATTTTTTGGGTATTAATTTATAATTTTATGTAGCATAATTTTTGGGATTGAGTCCTACTACTTATTCTCATGTGACGCTTTAGTTCTAGGGTTACCATAATTAGTATGTTGATTTGGATAGCTGAAAAATTGGTTAGTATTAAATTAAACAAATATTCATACAAGTTCACACAGAACTAGTCATCAACCAATTCTCTGAAAGATGTCAGTAGGCACCCCTGACCCTCCCTGTGTGCACCACTGGTTTCTTATTAGTAATAAGTTTATTTTGAATAGAAAACGCTAAAAGAATTGGTACGCACGCTTTTCTACGACCATTTTTGTCCATTAATAATTATAAAATTATTTATTTCAAAATAAATAAAAATACGTTTAGAAAAACCAATGAAATTTTATAATACAATATTTAATAATAATAATACAATTTATACTGTCGTTCATTAAAGCTCGCACCTTCATCAGTAGAATGACAAACTGACTATTATTGACAATAATCTATATTGACCGCGTGAGGAGTACATTGTCAGTAATGTAAATATTGTCAATATTTCTACTGTCAGTATAACCATTAATTATAAATACTAGTATTTATAATCAATGGTATTACTGATCGTGTGAGGCCCGCTTTATTCTGTGCAGCTCATAGTATCTATATCCGTGGCATTCCCATACGAGCCCATGTGACTTCTTATCAATATCAATTTTGATTTAACTGTTGTTAAAGTTAATATTAAATCTGTCTGTAATTTGCCTCCATAATTGAATTTTTTTTTCGTTTCATTTATTTAAGCGTTCTTATCGTTTTAACATACTTGCAATGAAATGTTAAATATCTAACATTTTTCTATTTTCACGATTTGAATTGCTAATCGCTTTAATCTCCTCACCGCCATCCCATTTGATCAGTGACCGTTTTTTTTCTATCGAAATATTTTTTTTAATTATAGTATAACAGCTATTCGAAATAAGCAGGTAAGTAGTGAGCTCTTTTATTTTATTTATTGATGCAGTGGTCAAACCTAAATCATATTTAAGTTTACAGAAGAAACTAAAAACATGGGAGTCAAAGAAAACGTTGTTACAAAGATAATCAAAAATGAACTCCGCAACCGCAAAAAACAAAACAAAATCAATGGTACCGATTTATTACGTTATTATTATACTTATATGTATGTATAAAGATAGGGTTGCCATACGTCCTGGAAAACCGGGATTGTCACTGGTGTTGGACTATGTGTTCTGGTGTCCCGAAAACATTTTTGGGATGTTCATATGTTCCGGCTAGGATGTTTAGAGGAAATGTAGTATTGTTTAATTTTTAATTTTGACCATTTCAATGGCATAGCGCACAAGTGTGACAAGTGATATTTTTTTGAAAAATGAGTTAATTGAATATCAATTTAATCATAAAATTCTGTACATTATGCACAACCGAAATTATAACATTATTCACGTAATTGTTGTTCTTTATTGAAATAAGAAGAAAAATGTAATGTATATTAGTATTACTTTTTACGTATAAAAAATGTGTCAAGTACAATATTTTTTTTTTAATTTTATCTAAGAATATAAATGTGGTAATTGCAGGTTTTTAATCCTCATTACTTATTACATAAATAAAGTTCATTACAGTTCTTTACATTTTTTAATTTTTAAACAGCTCAAACTAAAAAAATCGTTCTCATAAACAATTATGAAAATGTCACAATAATATATAAAAAAAATATAATATGTAATTTATACATATAAATATATAATATATTTTATTTTATAAAAATATTTTTAAATATTTTATTGCCAACCATTAATGATCCTCTTCAGTGGCGTAACTTGTATGGAGGGGGGAGGAATCATTTGCAAACAAATCATAATTTTTTTTTACGTTTCTAATGCCCTCACACTAAGAACATTATTTTAAAACATTTAAAAAAAGGCCTAGGAGAGATCTGATCCTTACATCCCCCCTTGTATATACCACTGCTCCTCTCAATATATTAAAAATTATATAAAAAAGTATATTACTCAATAATGTGTTTGTTTTGTCCCAGTTTCACCTTATAAATTTATGGCAACCCTATATAAAGATAATACAATATTTTTAAGCGAACCCATTCAAAACTATTGTAATTTTTTAATTATGAAAGGAATAACACAAGTGTTAAATAATATCATTAAAACATAACATTTAATGTTAATGAAGTTGTAAAATTATGATTAGTGTTTATAATAATTTTTGTTTTAGATATTATTACAACTAAAAAAGTTAATACTTCACAAAGTATTAAGTGTGATGATGAGTATACATTATTGTAAGTATGACAACTGATATAAATAATATAAATATAAAATATATAAATAATTTATTCTTGAGTTATTACATTTTTTTAGTTCAATGTTGTATTGTTATTATTGTTATATGTTGTATTCTTTTGTTATTATCATACAATTATTTTACAGTACTCAAATATATATTTCTAAATACACATTTTTTTTAGTTAAACCATTTTTAAATTCAATAAACATGCATTTAATGTGACAGTTTTAAAGCTTGTATAATAATTTTTCAAATGGTTATGTTGATGTTATTTAATACCTTAATTTTTTATTATTAGATTAAAACAAATAGTGAATGAAAGGAAAATAAAAAAAACAAAGGTATGATTTGTATTACCAAAATAAAATAAATTTAGACATTAATTTTAAAAATTTTATTTTTATTTTTTAGATTGAAGCTAAACTTAAACAAAAATCTACTCATACCAAAAATAATGAAGTAAAATGTAATGTATGTAAACAGTTATTCTCTATGAAATATTTTACTATTCATATGAAATTGCATGATAATGCTATGTATAAATGTAATATTTGCAGTAAGAATTTCTCTTACATTTCAATATTGAATAGACACAAAGCAATTCATAATAATGATTTTGTGTTTAAATGTAAATTATGTAATAAAACATTTCGATGCCCTCGTAGTTTATCCATACATTCTACATTTCATGAATGGGAAAGAATTAAAAAGTGTCGATTTTGTTTTAGAACTTTTATCCAATATGATGATTTCCATAACCACATTAAAAAATATACATTTGACAGACCGTTTTCATGTGGTTTATGTAAAACAGTTTTCAAGACTTCTCAAAGTCTAATGGTTCATCAAAAATCTCACAGTGAAGATGATCATTATTTATCATGCAAGATTTGTAAAATAAGTTATGCAGATCGTGATACCATCATCAAATATGTTAAGTGAAACATTTTATTTGAACAACTACTTTTTGACTGAATCATTAGTGATAGGTCTCTGGTAAAAAACAAAACATAATATTAGATATGTACAAAATATAAGTATATTAAAAAATTATCACATTTATTTATTTTAAATTATTTTTTTCATGTTTTTTATTTTGTATATTTATTTATTTCATATCAATTTTATTTAATTATTTTTTATTATGCATCAATAATTTATTTATTTTTAATTTTACTATACATACATTTATTATGAACTGTAAAAATAATACAACTTTTTACAGTTTTTTTATATTCTATGGTCTAATATACTTATTTTGTTTTTAATTAATAATTTTTTATAAACATTTGTAATATTTGTTGTAATTTTTTACCTTTTCATCATTTTAAAAACCATTTAGTCTTAGGTCGTAACTCTTTTTATTAAATAAATATTAAATTTTAGTATTTTTCTTTATGGTATAGTATTTCTGTTGATTTTGAACTTTTCAAAATTTAACACTTATGAATGTACATTTGGTAGATATTATTTCTGTTTTAATCAATTTTTTTTTTTTATGTAGTAATCTATATGTTCCTTTCTTTCTTGTAGATTTTTGAAAACTTTAAATTATTAATTTGCACTATACTGTGATTTAGAATTCCTAACCTAAATATTTAGATTATTTTGCTATAATTAATTGGACCATAATGAGAGTAATTTAAGAGGTTTTTGAAGCTGTTGTTTTCAAGAAGGTGCCAAAATAAAAAATTGAAAATTATGAAATTCTTTGAACCGGGTACTATATTATTTGAGACACTTGAAAAAATTACCAAATGAGTAGAATTAGCATATGAATTCCTCTTCTCCTTGTTTTTTGGGAAGATGCTTTTAAAATAGTTTGCTTACACCTTTTTTTTTAGATTATAATTTAATCATTTGGTTTCCTTATACATCTGGTCCAATTCACTCTCTAGAGGTGATTCAAAATCGTTTTTTGAGACTTATAAGTATTAAATGTAATATTTAACGGTTGCCTCACACTTCATATAAACTATTATTATTATACTTAAACCTTGATACTCTTCAAGTCAGAAGGGTAAAACATGACATTTGTTTTTTATATAAACTTTTAAATGGTTATATTTACCGTCCAGATCTATTATCAAATTTATCTTTTTTAGTTCTTGGTCATACGACTAGACAGACTGATACTTTTTATGTGCCATTCCAACGTACTGTATATAGTAAGAATGTCCCTATAATTAGATTCATGCAACATGTATATGTTGCATTTTCTATAACACCCATCCTAAAATCAGGAAATGCCACGGATGTTGCAAATTATCGACCTATGTCAATTCTATCCCACTTATCTAAACTATTTGAAAACATAGTCTTAAACTGTATTAAACGCTCAGTTAATAACATAATTATCGACGAGCAACATGGATTTTGTACTGGGTGGTCTACAACTACCTGCAACCTAGTATTGAGTAACTTCATTTTTGAAGTTATTCCAAAAACGTTCTCAGGTAGATGTTATTTACACCGATTTTTACAAGGCTTTTGACTCAGTCAACTATATAGTCCTATTGAAAGTGTTAAGGGCATCCGGATTCGATGAACCTCTACTCTCGTGGTTTAATTCATTTTTGCTCAATAGATAACAATGGGTTAAGGTGTTTGGTATTAAATCGAACGTAATCCCGTCTTCTTCTGGTGTACCTCGAGGCGGTCACCTATCACCTATACTTTTCTTATTATTTGTCAATAGTGTAAAAAATGCTCTTCCTTCTGCCAGAATACTTTGTTTTGCGGACGACATGAAAATATATTTGGAAATTAAATCAGCTGACGACTGTTTATGTCTACAAAATAATCTTGAGTGTTTCTCTATGTGTTGTAGAACTTTAGGCTTGAAGCTTAATCTTGCTAAATGCCGGGTCATGACCTTCTCCAGGTCTCATAATCTAATTCTGTGGAATTATAAACTCTCTGACACTATCATCGAACGGGTTTTTGACTCTATACTTGACTTGGGCTTCAAATTATCAAGTAATCTCAATCCGAGTGAACACATTTCAATGATTTGCTGTAAATCACTTAAAACTCTAGGTTTCATCTTGCGATTTTCTAAAGACCTTAAACTATCTAGATCACTCAAATCCCTGTATTGTGCTCTAGTTCGACCCATCTTAGAATATGGATTGGTAATCTGGAATCCTTATACGGCCACCGGTTCAAACCAACTTCAGCGCGTATAGCGTAAGTTTCTGAGCTTTGTTGGTTTCTCCTTAGGTATTCCACATAAACCTCATGATTACTCACCCATTGCTAATGCACTTGGGCTATATACCCTTTCTGAACGTAGACGTATGCTTAGTATTAAGTTCTTTAATGATCTTCTACTCAACAAAATTGATTCTCCCACCTTACTTTCCTTGATAAATTTTAAAATTCCTCCTCGCTCTACACGTTCTAATATCTCTTTCCATATTCCCAGAGCCACTGCTAATTACCAACAATACGAACCTCTCAGACGTTTAATGATTAATGCTAATAATGATCCTTCCTTCCTAGATTCTTACTCCTAACTGCTATTTTCTATGCTCACAGTTTTATTTTTAGAAGTCATAGTTGTCTGTTATACTTCTTTATTATACTGCTTACTCACTAATTACTGTTTCGTGTTTATTAGTCTGCTCTTTAATATATGTTTAACTCATTAAGTTAATTTATCTCATACATTACTGTATTTACTTTGTAAATTATATCATTATCAAAAAGGATTTCCCGTATAAATAAAAATAAATAAATAAATAAATAAACATGTAAATAAATTTAATATCGATATTTTTATTTGTAATTCAGTTGCTTCTTATACATTTTATCTTAATAATTTAGTAATTTAATCACTTAACATAAATTGTACTTCCACAATAACCATATTTATGTATATGTTCCACATTTTCATTGAAATTGGGCTCGTCCATTTAATAAATAAATAAATAAATAAAAAAGAGATTTTAAAAACTATTGTTGGTTAATTTTGTTTTTAAACGAATTTCACAGCTAATTCGTAATTTGAAATTTACTACAATCGCCAAAGCACTAAATGCTAACTTTAAACTTAGTTTAATTTTTTTTTAGCTGCAGCATTGCATTTTTATTCCATGACACGCACTCAACCAAATCATAATATTATAATGAACTGATTTGTTCAGATTCGTCTTAAGGTATAGGCGAGCTAGACACCTGCCTAGAGCGAAACTTCAGTATGGGCAGAATTTTCAAAATTGACTCATAATTTTTTTATTTTATATCGGTATCCAAAATCAGTTCTTTATTATATATATATATATATATATATATAGAAACAAGTTGATAAAACTATACCCTAATAATTATGTGATATTAAGAATCATATTAACTTGTAACTGCTGCAACAGTCGAGAAGAGTTTCCTAAAATTTAAAATATTAAAAAGTTATTTACGATTAGATATATCTCAAGACTCATTAGTCATCTTTCTATTTGAAATTGAACTCGCTGAAGAATAAAACATGGCAAAAACTTATACAGAGCTTTATTTCACTAAAAACAAGAAAAGTCAATTTTATTTTATCAATATTATAATAATAATAATTTGTTTAATTTTTTAAGATTATGACAAAGTTGAGTTATTTGTTAGGTTAAAAGTGAAAAATATTTTAAAAAACAATAAGTACTTGATTTCATATGAATTCCTGAAATCCAAATACATGCTAAATAAAATGAATTTATAATAAATTATATAACTATTACAAATTTGGCGTTAAAATAAAAAATTTATAAAAATATCCTAATATTCCCAAGACTACTTGTTACTTCTTTAAAATAAAAAAATTAAAATATTTTTCAAGTAGGTATGTCACATAAAAATGAAGAGAGGGGCTTGTTAAAAGTAGAGCTCAATTTTTTTTTTTAAAAGATAACAAAATTTGATTTTGCCTAGTGCATTATTTTTGGTAGAGTCGGCCCTGATTGAGTTATAATAACAGTGGCGAAAATATGACGGGAAGGGGAATTGGATGTAAACCGTCTCACCATAAATACTTTTTTTTAGTTCAAATACTAGAGGGAGGGAGGAAGCGGGTATTTTTGCCTTAGATGCTGTTGGTAAAGGACAATCTATTATTTGTATCTATAAAAAATAAAAAAAGCCATGAGCATATCTCGGACCATCTACGTAAGGGCGCTGTATTTTTATTAGCTCCAGGCGTCAAATTTCCAAGATCCGGCACTTTCGGTACTACTATATTTTACAGAAATAATATTGAAGTAACTAGAATCCCCTATGCTACATGTACTAACATCACTTCCTATAATAATTATTTTCGAAAATTGGATATTAGCGAGAAAAATATGTGAACTATATAAATTAAAAGTTGTTTACAAAAAAAAAAAAAATTAAAATTAAATTAAAAAAAAAAAATAGTATTTTAATATTGATGAATACTTACACGAAATTAGAATTTTCATAACGCATTTTCGTCGAGGAGTTGCCATTGTGTTATTTAGTATTTTGAAAAAATTGTGGTAGTTGAGATATTGTATTCATATGAAGCATATATAACACAAGTTTTGTTAATTAGTCATTACTGAAAGAAAACAATAATGTGAGCCTTGATGGGGAATAGTTAATTTTTAAAATCTTAAAAAGAAGGTAAAAGAAAAAAAGATGGGAATACTACAATACATCTTTTTCATATTTTATAGAAAAATAAATTATTCTGTCGTTCGATAGTAAATAAAATTGCGACGATGTAAATATGTACATTGATCAATATTAGGATTAATTGAAAACATTTTGTACCGATCTAATATACGTTTAGATGGTATAATTCATTTTTATATAGTGTTTCAACAAAACGATTTTGATTTTTTTCTGTTCGTCTTGTGTTATTTCATAGCAAGTACCAACCTATCTGAAGGAAAATATCGACAATACATTATTAAATAGTCGTAAGTGTTATAATAGTAATAAAGTATTATAGTACCTAGTGGTTAATCACTCGATAAAATTGGTTGCCTCAATATATTTGTGGCATAAGCGCTTCTGGACTATCTAAAAAACAATCGATTAGAAGTTTTTCGATTATCATTATTATTACTGATAATTAGTTTTTTATCAATATTTTATAGAAACATTAAAATTACATCAGCGCAATTATTTTAATTTATATATATATGTATATGTTTTAATTTTCAAATGTACTAATGATTAATTTTAGTATAATATATATATATAGCAAGAAATTGCTTTTTATCTATTATATAAAACGCGTAGCATTCATCTCAATGTTTATTTCATGAACCTGATAATCTAACAAATATATTTACATACTCATGTGTATAAAAATTATACTTAATGCAATACACAGTTATATAAACTGGTGATAGGTGTTGGTAGTAAAAATTTCAAATGCACAAAGTTCACAAAAATTTTTTGAAACAGTGAAATGTCTTTAACTACGGGCGTATCCAGAGACTTTTTGGGACAGGGGGTCTGATAAAAAATCTTAATCTTTTAAAATACAAAATATACTGTAGCAATAAAAAACCATAGAGTAAAGAATATAGAAACAAAAAATTAAAAATAATTTAATATAAACGTATTTCCCAATTTATTGTGGTAGTATTACTGCATAGAACATTTAATAATATAGATACATATTAAGTTAAAGAAAACATACAATTATTTAAATTCTATGGTTATGATAAATATACCATAAAACTAGGAAATAACTAATAAGATACATAATATTATATAAAGAGTTCAGAGTTAGATAATGTGTTGTAAGCGCTTAGTCCGTCCACTCAGTGGTGGATCTATTGGGGTGGTTATGGGGGATAGATCCCCTCCCGTGGGCCGAAAGTTAAAAAAATTTTTTTGCAACCAATTCAATTTTTGCATGCACAATTTAAATAAAAACTATTTTTTTATTATTTTGTTTTCATTATTTTGTAACCAAGAAGAATACATTAGTGTACATTAGTATCTAACTTCATATCAGATTGTGGATATACACCTTGCACTTATATCATGAGTTGGAATACAGCGGAATACATTACATAGAGTAATGGCACAGTCATCAAGAAAATTAAATTTTGTTTTGTACATTTAATAGAATAAAGCTTAAAATATCTATACATATAATGTACAAAAATATTTTACATCCCTCACCCCCATATGATAAAATCCTAGATCCACCTCTGCGTCCACTGTTGGCAAACTTGTTTAGGACCATATCATCAGTTATAAACACATCTCTGTGAATGTTAAGTAAAGCCAAGCCTTATAATCGATTTTCAGAGGTTAAACTTTTTAAATAAGTTTTTATCTCCGCATGGTGGAAAAACTACGGTCTCCAGATGCTGTAAATTTAGGAAGTACCGCAAGTATTTTAAGCCAGTGGAGGACGCAGGGAGGGGTTTTGGGGTTCAAGCCCCCCCACCCTAAATGAATGAATAATTTCAAACGTAGTTATCTTACCTTATGTACCTTAAAAAAAATTAATTATTCAAAATACGATTAAAATATGCTAGAAAAAAAATGTTTTGTTAAGAAAAGTGAATTTGTAATAATTTATAATTTTCCAAACGTTCTAAAAGGTATTGGTACTTAAAACTCAAATTTTTGAAATTCTATGATAGCAATACTTCGTAAAAATAATGCGTGTTTGTATATCACTTATTGCAATAAGTGACATGTCAGTAAATAAAAATAAGTAAATACATGTAATCGATATAATATTATTTACAATGGTACATTATGATTGACCTTTTATAAAACCTTTTAATTTAAGACAATGAAAAATATTTATTAATACAAAAAAACAAAAGAATGACCGATTACTTCACTCGTAATACGGGCAGCGTTCCGTCCTCCACATCAATGGTGGTAGAACGAACGACATCACGTCTTGCGTGGGATGTTTTATTCCATTGCAATCTATCTGGTCAACATTTCTTGAAGGTGGTGTGTTTATGCGTATGCGTATGTGTGCGTTTGCTGACAATATATTAATTTTATACTTATAATAATTAAATTAAATTAGATGTTAGGTGATAATACAATACTACAAATTTAAAGTTTTATGAATTTTCACTTATAAAAATGTAGTGGATTTTCGTAATTTTTATCGTTTTGTCGACATTTAATATTCAAATGCTTATTTATTTATTTTTAAATTAAGCTCAATTTTTTATTTAATAATTATAATATAAAGTATGTATAATATTATGTATGAGGAACTTTATATTACATTTTGAACATTTGCTGTCAAATCAATATTATTTTATCGATAATTTCGAAAAAAGCTCTCGAAACATGACTACTCTAAAACCATTTTTTTAAAAATTATACTCTATAGTAAAAGGTGAAATAAATATTTAGTGAAGTCTCTACGATTATCATTTTTTAATTTACAATGAAAACGAAAATTCAATTTTGTCGAAAACTGGTACTGTAAATGTTGCTCTTTTTTATAATTTTTCATCAGTTTTTCGCAACTATTATGAAAACTGTTAGGAAATTTATTGAATGACACATTCTGAGTACCGGCTAGATAACATTTTCTATCAAAAATCTCTTATGCTTGTGATGATCAAAGTAATCTTTCTGGTCAAATTTGTGTACACATACATACAAAAAAACCCATCATAATAAAATCTTCAAATTCAGAATTTGTATTATGAGTGTGCTAAATTGTAAATTATTCAACTAAAAGTTTTGCTTGAATATATATCTGTGTTTTTTGTTATTTTACAGAATAAATCTTATTGTTATTTCGATAAATTTACCATAGTAATTTTATCAGTAATTATTTTGAGTTCGAATATAATCGTAGAGGAAAAACCATATAACAATCTAGCTGTTAATAATAATTAAATTATAATTCTCATGTTTTAAATGTTATCTGTTATTCGTTAATATTTTAATGAGTGGGGTTTCAAAAATATTAATGTTAAATTATAATACACTTACTCTTTTAATGGTTATATTCTTTACATTGAACCAATTAATAATTAGTCATTATCAAATGTATAATATTATTATTCTAACGGCATTACGATCTAGTACTTCAATATATTAACTTATAAAACTGGTATTTAATAACGGTTTTATATCTACTAAAAATTGTGTTTGTAAAAATGTCTATTAATGGTCAAATAAACGCATCCAATCTTTCAAAAAACTATGGCTCCAAGGCGACGATAGCACAGGTTAGTATTGTGTTTACTAAAAGTACTTCAACCGGATAAACTTGTATTTTATTCTTATATAAAAAATGGAAGATCTTAGCAACTGCGGTGCAGAGTTTACTATTAATTGGATTAGGTATGGAATTGTCGATGCCAACAATTGTAATAAAAGACTTGTACGAAAATCCAAATAGCAATTTTACACTATCATTATCACAGGTCTCCTGGTACGGTAAGTATATATTTTGATTTTGGTTTACATGTTATATTAAAGGAATATAATTTTAATTATATTATTAGTTATTAATAAGGTCCGGATTTGTATGCAAACAATATTGTTGAACACGTTACATATTTATTCATACAAAAATTTAAAAAATGTGCAAAATGATTTGCTGTGATCTAAAAAAAAAAAATAATGATATCTCAAAATAATTACAAAATATTGATGTAAATAGAAAAAACAGTGTAATGTAATATTAATTTTGAAACGAGTAATAATACGGAAATACAAAATGTGATTTTAGATTTTTAAGTTTGTAATCCTGCGATCGTCACATAACATTATATTTTGCATTAGATTAATAATATTATATTTAAACTTTGAAAAACTTATTTCTATGTCACAAGATTCCATTGTCAAATATTTAAGACAGTGGTTCTCAATTTTTTTATATTTGCGTACCACTTAATCATTTGAAAAATGTTCATGTACAACTTGACTTTAAAACCTTTTTTTTATTTACCATCAAGTGAAATTACTTTTTTTTCATATATTAAGCCTTTTTTTAATTAATTTTATTTATTTAAGCTACATAAATATATAAGCATTAAAAGCACAAAAAGTAACATAACGTAAAATATTTACAGTGATTATTAATTATAATGAATAAGAATGAATAATATAATGAAACAGCTTATGTTGTATTGAGTGGATCCAGACATTAATATCCAGGCTCCATATTGGTAACTTTAAGTCTAAGTTGTCTTCTACATTCATTTTGTTCCTATATCGCTGATAATACCGAATGGTAATAATAATAAAAACAAAATATTTCTTTAAAAAAAATGTCTTCGCTTACCACGTATGAGCTTTCCGTGTACCATTTGTGGTATGCATACCACTGGTTTAGAATTGTTGATTTAAGAAAAACGTTGAAGAATATAAATTGTTCAGCACACGATTTAGGTGAATATGTTGAAAAACGAAGAATAAAAATGATGCATTATGTGAATCAATACGAAATTTAAAAAATAATGTTATACATTATTTATAAAAAATTATAGTTTCAAACAGTGATTAAGAATTATGCAATTTTTAATAAAAAATAACCTTAAAAATCTACAAATTGCAAAATATGTTATAGTTGTAAATAAATTGTGGAAGAATATCCATTTGCATCAAAATCCGTAATTTGTAATTATGTAACGTATAATAATTAATCGTCATCGTATAGAGGTTAATCGTGTTCTTTTCGAAGTATTATGATATTTTAACTTTACATATAGTAGCATGCAAAAATGTATATTTATATAATTTTGTTATTTGATAGGGCGTAACATTAAAAAAAAAAAAAATGTATAATTAAATATAAAATAATACAAATTAGAAGCATTTATTTTATAAACGTTCATCTTATACATTCAGTAAACTTGTCACCAATTAAAGTTAACCTACAGCAGTGATGTAGCCAGAATTTTGGGCAGATTAGGTAAGAAAGACTCTGAGAGTTTATCAATAAGTACAATGAGTGACCAGTACAAAATTGAGCGTAAATTTTTAAAATATGCAGCCTATGTTGTGGGGATTGAGTGTCCATTGCACGACTGCATTCGTTAGTGCTTAATCTGTCTTCGATAGCTGTCTGAAGAGATCAAGCACACCTGCTTTTTTTGTGTAAATTAATTGGCGGAAGTCATCTTCGGACCCTTGACTTGTTATAGACTGTCAGCTTCCATATCTATGTTTTTAATTCTCGCTCAGTATAAAATTTTTTCATTCCTTTTTGCTCCACTCGTTATAAGTTAAATCGTTCTTTATTTCAAATGATAAAGTTGGTCGTCGAAAAACCTTATTTTTAACTTGTATTTTATTTCCATAATCTTTAATAATATTCTTTACTTACAACTAATATTATTACTTATTTATTCTTATTTAATTTATAATCTTTACTTTATTTACTGTATAATTTTTATTTTTAAGGATTTTTTAATGTTCATGGATTTTTGCATCGGATTTATTGATATTGATAAATTTATATTGTATTTGAATTGGGCTAGTCCAATTTAATATTTCTATATATAAATAAATAAATAAATTAGACATCATGGAAATACTGAAATTGTTGCAATAAGTAGCTGTCAAATAAAATCTACTAATGTATGGTACTCATTTTCATTGATTAACAGGAAGTATATTATTTATATTTCATCCTACTGGAAGTTTTATATCGGGATTTCTTCAAGAAAAATTTGGCAGAAAATATTGTATGATTTTTGCAAATATCCCTAGTATATTGGGATGGATAACTTTGCATTTTACCAATTCCACGATTTTACTTTATACGACAAGCGTGTTAATGGGACTAAGTATCGGATTCAGCGAAGCTCCAATACTATCGTACGTTGGAGAAATCACAGAGCCAAGACTCAGAGGATCTATGACATCTTTAGCAAGTGCAGCTGTTATGTTTGGTTCATTAATAATTTTCATTTTGGGATTTTTATTCGAATGGAGAACTGTTGCATTACTGAGCGCATTATGTCCCATCGCTAGTATGTTCTTAATAACTTTGGTAATGTGACTACATTATTTACTTGTACTTGATAATTTATGTTAAAGGATTTTGTTTATAATTTTGCTTTTAGATTCCAGAATCTCCTATTTGGTTGGTTTCTGTAGGAAAAAATAAGAAAGCTGAAAAGTCTTTATGCTGGTTAAGAGGATGGGTAGAACCTAAAAAAATTCAAACTGAATACTTGGAACTGATTCATTATAATGAAGTGTCTGGAATCAACAATGATAGTAAGAGTGCTAGTTTTTTTAAGAAATTAGCCGAATTGAAGAATCCATCAGTTTATGGGCCCTTAAAATTAGTGATGATTATTTTCTTCATTTCTAATATAATATGCCTTTCACCTGGCAGATCATTTATTAACGAAATATTTCATAAAGTTGGAATATTAAATAATCATAGTTTAATATTAGTAAGAAAACTATATATATTCACTCCAATTTAGATATTATTAAAATATTAGTCAAATTGATAGTATAAATATTATTTTTTAGGTTATTATGGCTGTTTTACAGAACATAGGATATTTAATTATAATTTTTACTATTCACCATGTGGGGAAAAGATGTTTAGCTATATTTGCGTTTTCAATTAACACTGTGCTTTTACTGTTATTTGGAGGATACGTCATAGTTTTGAAGAATGGTTTTATAAGCTCAACTCCTTTGATACCAACAATCATTATATGCTGCATTTATTTTTTTGGAGCTGGTGTTGGTAGTTTACCTTGGATGTTAATTAGTGAAGTGTTTCCAAACAAGTAAATTCTATATTTTTATTCTAATATTATAATACGTTTTCATGGCGTTAACTTTTGCTAAAAAATAATCAGTGCTCGTTGGTTTAAAAATAAACAAATATTTTTAAAAATTGTTTTATTTAATGTAAATGTATATTTTTTTAGAAGCCGAGGAATCGCTACTGGTTCATGTGCTGGGATGTCTTATTTATTAATGTTTGTACTAACAAAAATTTATTTATCAGTAGAATCTACGTTGACCATAGAGTACACTTTGATTCTTTTTGGTGCAATTGGAATTTTCGGTATAGTTTATTTGTATTTTTATTTGCCCGAAACGGAAAATAAAACATTATTGGAAATCGAAGAATATTTCCTAAAATTATAGTGTTTATGTAATATGTTATATATTTATGTTATTAATATGGATGATTTTTTTTTTTTAATTTATAATGTTTAATATTATTTTTATAGTCAAATTTATTGCTAAGGATGTTTAAATATAACACTGTGATGTATAATTCTAAATATGAATAAATATTTTTATAATACTTTTGTTAATGTTTGTACTAATTAGTAATAATAAAAATGTCATTTTTAAATTATTTTTTATTGGATGGCTAAATAAATATAAAATCAAATAAACATACTTTTTTTTTTATAAATTAGTTTTATAAAAATATTACAACTACAAAAAAAATTATAGTATAATAAAGACACACGATCGCGTTAAAAAATGGCTTTTTAGTATTAAATTAATAGTTTTAAAATTTGCTTTATTTCTTAGATAGTTAAAAATGTAAATAACTATTATCTATGTACAATATTTGTTTCATTCAGAGTCTTAAATTTATATTGAAACAAATTAATTTATATTTATGATAAAACCAATTTATTTTAATAACAATCTATAAACATGCATATGGCTTAGTTATGACTGTTTTAATTAGGATCTAAATACTAAAACTGATTAATGTATTGGAATAATCATAATAGTATTATGGTAATGATTAGATATTTGTTTAGGAATGAATGAATACTACAATTAAGACAAAATGGATAGATTTACTAACATCAATACATTATTATCATTTTTGTGTTTTTTTATTATTTATTTATTAACAATAATAATAATGTAATGTTATAATTGTGAGCATTAATAATTAATTTTATAACGAACGTGTTTATGATACCTAAGTATTATCATAACAAAACTAATTGATGATTCTATAGACTATCCTGATTTACTGAACCAAATAAATTTCAAGGTTCAAAGCTTTTAGCCACGATTTTGTTATCTTTACACAATTGACTAGAAAATTGCATTAATCCTCAAAATGACTATTTTTCCAAATTAACCTCTAGATGACCCTAGATTATTTGAAAATCGATAGTAAAATAGGTAATGATTATTTTTCCAATATTTTTCAATAAAAACATTTTAATCCCATTATCACAAATAATGCCTTTTAGTTTAGTCATATTTTTGCTTTGTACTTGAACATTTTTTTATTCGACATATTTTACGGTGAATACAAATTTAATATACATCATTAAAGTAAACAACATGCTCGGAATTAAAGGTATAAGCTATTATTTTTCTATGAGTTGTATACATTAAATAATTTCTTAATATATTTACACTAACTGAATAGCCCGGGTTCTCCCGTATGGAATTTTTTGTGTTGCGTATAATTTATTTTTTATCAGTTTTTGTATTACAGAATGCTTTTAAATGTCATGACCCTAAATTTCCCGTGAATTGTAACAACCAAAAATTATAGATATGGTGTTTATTTTACAAGTTTGTAAAAATTAATATAATAATGACGACCATTGAAGTTTTAACAATAACTACTTAAATCATTATAGTAAATGCACTGACCAAGATGCACAAAAATATAATTTTCTATCAGTTTTATACATTTTATATTTAAGGTTCGAAATTCTATTGAATATACATCACAAATTTTATTATTTTCTTGCTTAGTTTAGATTTAATTGTACATATTATTGGTGAATAGTAATGGATAATGATTAAGTATTTAATAAATACAATATTTAGCCGAAGTACATTGATAAGACAATATGACACATGATCATGGTCGTATTTAACATATTACGTTAACGTATTAACTTACTAATTAAGCAGTAGCGTATTTAACTTAATTTTATGGGGGGAGGGGGCAGTGGAGTATCCAGGATTCATTTAACGAGGGTGTTTTAAAATTCAATACACTTATAGTAAGTGGGGGTTCTACCTCCCACGTATTAAATTTATAAATACCATGTATTTATATAAATTGTTATATTAATGAAAATGATCTTACATATACTTACGTTTATTTAAATTATACTGTAAGTAAGTTTGCAATTTGGTGAAATACTATAAAATACGGTCGATGGGGGGTGTTCCAACACCCATATCACCCCCTAAATACGCCCCCGGAGGGGGGTACTAAATTTCCAAGCATTATACACTAATTAAGTACAATATTTTTTTTTTATATGTATGCTTGTTCTTGAATACATACCTATTGGTCTATTTTATACTTGTATTTTTTACACATTGCACATTTTGAGAAATGTAAATAAAATACAATAAAGCTCAAATTACAGTAAAACAATATTATATTTATTAAATTATAAAATTAATATTTCTTTTTTTCATTTGTGAAAATTTTTCAATATTTCTGTCCGGGGGCGGATTGGCAATTATTTTCGACCCAGGAAATATGAAACAAACCGACCCATGAACCGCAAATTAAACTATTTTACCACTCCCCCTCCCAAAAAATGCTTTATTTTGCATCAATTTCAAAATTTGATTAGTTTCGCCCCTAAATTAATAAAATCTACAATAACTGTACTATATTTATAACTATAATAGTTTTGGATAAGTCACATGTTAAATCAGTTTCAACTTGAACTTTAAGTTTGATCTTAATGCACCTTTAAATATATATTTATTTTTTTAATGATATTTATTTATTTTATAAAATAAAACTTTTTTTTGGTAATTATATATTAATATAAAGCGGCCCAAACAAGGACCGGCCCATCGGGAAAATTCCCGATTTCCCGATAGGTTAATCCGTCCCTGATTTTGTCAATATCTATATTAATTGATCTGTGCACATGCAATAATGCCAATTCGCTTAATCTATTTTGCCCCATTGTGGATCTAGCCATGTTTTTAGTCTACATAAAATAAATGAGAAATTCAAATACAAGTACCTATATTAATGTCAATTGCATCTCAATTAATCTAAACCTTTTTACAAACAAAAGAAACTATTTTCAGCAAATTTAATCTATGATATTTTGTACAATAGTAAATAAGTTACTTTTAAATTTATTTTAATAATTTATTAAGAATTTTTATGGCAAATTATTGTAATGCTTACAAAAAATATTTTTAAAATCGCAATAGCTGAAGTATATAAATATGGTTTAATACTAATTATATATACTAATCATAGACGTAACTAATCCTTTAAGTAAGGGGGAATAGATTCCTAAAAATGTTTTATAGCAATTTTTTTTAATTAAATTATTATTTATTGTTTCTGTTGGTGTTTACAACTGACATAAACGGTTATTCGTTTATATGAAACACTATATTTTTTTATACTCGTATTGTAGGCAAAAATAAAGTTTATACTAACTTGTTTATAAGCAACCAAAAATTCTGGGGTGACTGAAGCCCACCAAATATTCTATAATATTCTAGCCTCCTCTAATTATGCCTATGATATTAAAACATTATGCATGCAATTAGAATTAAACATTACCGTCTAAGAGTAAAAAAAAACTTTTAGCGGAAGCAACGCTAACAAGCAAGCATGCTAAAATAAAAAGCAACTTCTTTACAATAAGATAAAGTATCTCATTACAAGTTTCCGCAAAAGTGATGACATCAAAGTTGACATGACCACCTTAAACAAAAATATACCTATTTATTGATAAATCTCCAACAAATTAAATTTTTATTTTTTAAAATACCCTCATCTTTTATTCTTATCCAATTAGATTTTCATAGGTTAATTAATTTTTTTAAGATTCATTTCTCCCAAATCAATAAAATCCATATTTCCAAATTTAAAATATTTTTAATGGTGATGTACAAAATACAATTTTAGAAGTTAGAAGGCCGAAAAATAAAGGTTGGTAAAAAGTTCTCGTTTATGAACATTTATGAGTAAGAATAATTTTCGAAATTTTTATTGAATAAATCAACGTATGGTAAGTAATCGATTGATTTGATATTCAATAATAAGGTAAGTGTATTATGTTAAAGTCATTGTTTTATGAATTAAATCAAATCAACTAGGTTTGTAGAATATTGTTAGTTGACGGATGTTCATGAGCAACATATCAGGACTAAAATCTGGACGTCAGAAATTGAAATATTGTAATTGGACATTTGTACCTGGTGTTGACAATTTCCAAGGTGCCAATCTCTTAGCTCCTATAAAAAGGCAATAACGGTTTTAAAAGAGGAAACCTATGACGCAGAAAGTGCCTCTAATGACTTTTGAAAAAATTAACACGTCGTCCATGGTGATGAAGCCAACAAAAATAATTTACTAGACATCTAAGCACTTTATAAACCTGTAAAAAGAAATGATATCCCTACAAAAAACTACGACGAAAAAAAGGCAAAGCTCTATACCACCTTCCAAAAAAAGTAACCTATCAAAGTAATGATATACATGTGATCATATGGTATCGGGTCACTTCCCCGTCGCCATTTCTCCCTCGAACATTTCCTCGTAAACACTTCTCGGTAAGACATTTCCCCGTCCAATACGTTTTCTCGTGCGACATTTCCCCGTCTAATACACTACAATACAATCTTTATATGTATAAAATAATAGGCCTTTTTTTATTTACCAATTTTTTGACGACACTATTTAACTTTTTTCCAATTTTTTTTCACAGAGTTGTTCCAAATACCTTCCTGAGTATCACCACGTCGCTCTATTTTCAAAATTTTGATTTTAAAGGTTTGAAATCGGCAAAAATAAATTTTTACATGTAAACTTTTTCATTCTTTGGTGACCTAGGAAATATGTTGATGTGTTTAATAAAGTTAAGTTTAATACATATTTTAACTAGTTAACTAAGCGAAACATGTCGCCCAGTAATTATACTCTGTCAATAGTATTTTGAAAGATTGATAAAGTGAAATAATGCGAAATAAACATGTAATACTATAATCGTACTATGGTATTATACATTGACTATTTTGAGAAAAACATTTTTTGTCGTCCAGTGAAAATTCCATATAAAATGCACTGATTTAATATGTTGATTTTAATAATTATTGATTGAGATTTATGTAAATTTATGTTAAATTTAATATTAAATAATTTACACTTAAAAAGACATTGCTTCCACAGCGTCTTACAACTAAAAAGAGTTTTTCCGGGCTACGCCGGGTAATATAGCTAATAATATAAACATATAATACATATATAAACATAATAAAATGTTAATCTCAATAAAAAAATAAAAAAAAAGTAAAAATAATAAAATTTTGTTTAATTATAATAAAAAAAATAATAACTTTAAGAATAAATATATATCTTCGTTAATTTGTCTGTACTATACAGAGTACAATTATAAGCTATATAAACCTATTATACAGCGTGGAATTAAAATAAATTGTTTTATATTATCGTTACTTGTATATCACATATCAAATCGCTAGATGGGGTAGTATCGGACGGGGAAACGGTGACGGGGAAAATTGCTAGACGGGGAAATATTAAACGTGAAAACGGTGACGGGGAAATGTCTGACGGGGAAATGTATTACGGGGATCAGTCCATGACTCGATCATATACCTAATGTACAATATGGTCAAATTATTTAATCCGTAACCTCATCACTTCATTCCTACTTTCATGAGTAATCCGGCTCTTTTATTTCTGTTGCTAAACACTTGATTATTTTCTGAATAAATCATAAAGCACACTTAGCCTGCACAATAAATACATCACTACTTTAATAATTTCGTTTCACAATTTTTTTATTTTCTTCCGAGTTCTCTAACCTCCCTGATTCTTTAAACTGACATATAAACATAACTACCATATCATATACATATCGTATCATATACAGTGCCGGCCCGAGCGAAAACATTGCACTAGGCAAAATCAAGTTTTGCCGCCTCTAAAAAAAAATTAATTTAGCTCTTATTTTAACTTTGCCCCTCCCCCTATTTTTTGTGTAACATATCTACATAAAAAAAAAAGTAAATTTTATTTTACGTATAAAATTATATGTAAAAAGACTAAAAAATGATTTCCATAGTTATTACTCAAAATTCATCACTATCGCGACTATCGGAAATGTGTGGTTATTTATATTTTCGGAACGATTGAAAACGCCCAGCGTAGTGCCGTAATATAAAGTAATATAACTTTAAACGATTTTATTAAATAGGTTGGTAGTTTTCACGAATGAATGAATTTCGTTAATTTTTCATATAAGACACCGATAGGACTAAAAAAAATGTACGAGTCAATTTTGAAAATGCTGCCCCTACTAAAGTGACGCTGTAGGCAGGTGCTTAACTCGCCTATACCTTGAGCCGGCCCTGATCGTATACACACATATAGGTGTTAAATAGATGATATTAAGGTCATAGATAGAAAACTTAGAAAAAAATAAATAATTTCTAAACCGAAACTATCGAAGTTGTGGTAACTACACTTATTGAGCAGGCCAAGTGTGTTTTATGCTTTATCTAAACAAGTATTTAGCAATAGAAATAAAAAAGCCGTGTTTTTGATGAAAGTAGGAATGAAGTGATGAGGTTACGGATTAAATAACTTAACCATAATGTAGATATCATTACTTCGATAGGCTGACTTTTTAGGAAGTTTGTCTAGAACTTGGCCTGTTTTCACCGTATGTTTTTGTTGGGATTAGTTTTGTACAGCTACGGTTTATAATTCGGAATCAGATGTCACTTATCAATACAAAATGATCAATCAACCCAGTACTTCTCAACCTTTTTCAAAATGCCGCCCCCCTAAGAAGAAAAATGTTTTTCAACGCCCCCTTCACTTACCTCACTTAACCTTCACTTCATTAAAATAAAAATAGTATACATGAAATGTTTATAATTGAATAATAAATAATATAGATATAAATGTAAATATAATAAAAATAAAATGTAAAATTTATGTTTAAATATAATTTAAATGTTTTGAAATGTATTGATCAGTGAAATGCTTGATGATTCAAAGCCAATTTTTTTCGTTTGGTTCAAAATTTGTGAGATGAAACCGTAAGTTTCCTCTTTTGACGATATCTAGTTAATTTCTTTTTTTCGTTAATAGATAATAACGTACTGCCTCTGATATATGTAGTTAATATTTCATTATCACAAATTTATTTTAGAAATCGATAAACGGAAAACAATTACAGATAAACCTTGTTACGTTGCTTTGAACGGAAAAAAAAGTTCACCGTCCCCTTATCGCCCAAAACAAGCTCACCGCTTCCCAATCGCCCTAAACGAGCTCACCGCCCATCGGTACTCCTTCATCACCCACCGGGGGGCGATATCGCCCCCGTTGAGATGCACTGATCTAATCTGTCTCCGCAATATCATAGAATATATTCTATGGCAATACACTATCAATCCTGGCTTCCGTGTTATCACGTTTCTGGGGAAAAATTTTTTACACCGAAATTCCGTTTTAAAGGTTGCCTTTAATTGCTCTAAAGATATTATGTTAATAATTAATTAAGCCCGTCATTGGGGACAATATTATTGAAATGGAATGCGTTGAAGGAAAACGTCTGCCGCAATCGAGTAATATTTCCGATAAAATGTCCGTCACTGCTACTTTGGAATTCTATACTGAAAACGAAACTGTATGTATTTACTATGAGCGCTACTTACAATATCTTATTAATTATTTTTATTATTTAAGACCAATGTTGGTTTGACTAAAAGAAATTGGATTTACTTGTTAGTTATTACACCGAAAAATATTCTTGGGTTTTCCCGGCCATCAACACCATCCCATCACACATCCATCCTCCAGCCTTCCCTATCCACCGCTCTTATTTTCCAATCCCGTCCTCCGTTCAGTTTTTCTACTTCTTTTCTAATCACATCTTTCCACCTCAATCGTAGTCTTCCCAGTGGTCTCCTGCCTACTGGGTTCTAGTCCATGATCATCCTTATGAGATGGTTTTGGCTTCGCATAGCATGCCTAGCCCATTGAAGTCTTCGGCTTCTTATTACTCTTAATATCTTAATACTTTCCAGTTCCTAATTTTTTCTCGTTTTCCACTCTCCCGATTCACCGAAAAATATAACAAATGTTATTTATATATACAATATATGATTTTACAAAATTGTTTTTTTTTTATATATATCTGACATCATATGAAAAAGAAAACCACGAGAAACACGAAACAAAAATGTTAAAATAATACAAGCAATAGCATTTTATAGAAAAATGAAAAGAGATTATTTCAAGAGGATAAGATGAAAAGGAAAGGTCGAGTTAACTAATTATGAACCTATTATTCAAGATCCAGTTTAAAAGCTGGAATCATTATAGTTATAGTTATTATCAGCTATAAAAAATATTCACTCATATCATAACTTATGATATCAATGAATATGTCTTACTATTTTCTATAATCCTAGATAAATGTTAACTAATTCACTGATTTATTTGACACAGAATTTTAAATTCTAAATATATTGAATCGGCAAGACAGTTAATTTACAAAATTCATGTTATTTATAGCAAACTATCCATGAAATTATTTTTAACATATAACATATTAAAAAATTACTTTGATAAATTATTTGATTGAATATTATATTGCTAGTTTTTAAGTAACTAAGTTATACCATTGATTATAGAATATTCTATAATCAATGGTTATACTATAGCAACGTTTTATTTCCCAACGCTGACCACTATTTTTAAATAATTGAAACTTGTAAATTTGTATAGTATTTTAACAAATAATTGTATTTATTCTTAATAATTTATAAAATTTAGTTAATTTTATGGATTTAATTTTTCTTTACAGTACAAGAGAAATGTCAAATATAATATTCCTCCCAACTCAATTAAGATTCTATATTGAAGCCTCATGAATATTGGCTTTCCATTTAAACAAATAAAAAAAGTTTAATATTTAAAATAATATTATTAAAAAATATGTGTATAACTTAATATATATTGGTAGGTATTTTTTTAAAATTATTGGGTATGTGTATTATCATTGATAATAAATACTAATATTATTTAATACTAGTATTTATAATCAATGGTATTATGTAGAATTTATACTTAATGTTATGTATAATATACTAATTTAATTGTTTATTCAAATGATTTCAATAATATTTTTTGTAGGTACCTATCAAATATTTTGTAGATTGTATTTATCTCTATTATTTATGCCACCTGATACTAATAATTTTATATTCATTGTTTGGCAATGTACAAAAGAATCTTTTAGATAATACATTTCTACGAATATAATTGGATTAAAATTATTTATATCCATTAAGAATATATTATATATCCAACATGTCCCATTGTTATTCATTATATTTATTAGTATTTTGAGTGAAAAATTAATGTAAATGGAAGTCTTTTATATATTTAAAAGATTTGAAAAAAAAAATAGCAAATGTTTTAAACAAATAAAACTACTAATTCATAGACATTACCCAATAAAAGAGTATGTTAATTCATATAAAAAGATAAATATTATTTAAAAAAATTTAAATCTGGTACTAAAATATTGAGCTTATGTCCAATTATATTAGTGTCAATACATTTGTAGCTTATACTATAAGAAAACCAAAATATTGTAATTTGACATTTCAAATGTTTACTTTATACTTAAATATCAAAAAATTACTATAAAAACTAATAACTTCCATTAAAAATGTATGATTTAAAGAGCTATGACAGGATTTTTTTGGTTAAAAATAACTATCCAGAAATGTATTAATTATTAGAAATAAAAAGATTACTGTAAAGCTAATTCTTTTAACATAAAGCTATACATATATTCATGTGACTACAATGTTCAATATTTTATCATAGTGAACTGTTGAATAATTTCAAAAATGAATTGTATTATATTGTTATCTTGAGCTGTAATTTTATTTTTAAATTTATCATATTCTGATATAATACTTAAACTATTAATTTTTAGGTGGGAAGTTGGGTAAATACAATTCATGCAAAAGAAGTGATGAAATACAAACAACAAACTGTATGTCAAAAGGATAATTTAAAGAATGATATTGGTGCAGTAATTTATTCTGAGGAGATGCAGTACTATAAAAGCTTACTTGAGTGCAGTTTTTGCTCAAAAATGTTTTCAAACAAATCCAATCTACGCAAACATTACAAAATACATACTGAAGATCGATCATTTGTGTGTGATATCTGTGATAAAACATTTGTAGACAAGCTAACTTTGCGTAATCATTGTAAGCTACACTCGGGTGAAAGACCTTACAAGTGTGATATTTGTGGCAAAACATTTGTGGAAACTAAAACCTTGCGTAGACACTATAAAGTACATACAGGTGAAAGACCCTATGAATGTGACGTATGTGGCAAAACATTTGCTGCAACATCGAATTTGCGTAGCCATTATAGAACACACACTGGTGAAAGACCGTACGAATGTGATATTTGTAGTAAAACATTTGTTGAGAAAAAGACTTTTAGTGATCACCATAGAACGCACACAGGCGAAAGACCTTATGTATGTGATGTTTGTGGTAGATCATTTACCCAAAAAACCACATTGTCTGTACATTATAGAACACATACTGATGAAAAACCATACAAATGCAGTATTTGTGAAATGTCATTCAAAGATGGTAGTAACTTTAGAAGACACACTAAAAGAAAACATAATAGTTGATTTTAACAACTGTAGTTTTTGCCATTAAAACAATTTTGATTCCTACATCAGATCCAATCAATAATTGAACAATTTTAGTATTGTTCAAAATTGTATGATGTCTATAGTAATATATGTAACTATGCTCCTAGTTAGAAAAACAATGAAAAAAAAATTAATTATTTATTTTATTTTAAGTAATAAATTATTTTGGTTATTGGAATAAATTATATTATTGTTAAAAAAATAATTTTTCATATTCATTTTATAGATTATTGTTTGTTAAATATAAATAAGATTTTTCCTTATGCATTTCTAAAAATTTATAAAAATTGGATATTTACATATTTTTATTTATTTGTTTTACCAAGTATTATAGATTGTAGTTTTGTAATGTAGACTAATGAAGATTGCATGATAATTTGATAATTGATAATAAACACCTTTAACAGTGGAGGAGGAAATAATTGATTTGATTTATTTAATATATTATATTTAAAAAAGTGAAGAGAAATAATAGTTTATAAAAATTTCAGTAACTGCCTGGATGGTTTTAAATTTGAATATAATTTGAAAATAATTTAACAGTAATTGTGTAGTGAAATGTTTATTATTGGTTTATTAAATTGAGTCATAACAGAGCTTAGCAGTCAATTGGTCATGAGGTGATCAATAAAATGCAAATGAAAATAGAAAATTCACTTATTTCCAAGAAATAAGTTGTTTTCCAAGAAAACCTTAAGAGATAAGGCAATGGATAAAAGTAATTAAAATTTTCGTAGGGACGAGCTACTTAATTTATATATTATGGATTTATTAAAAACATCACCACAGTCAAAAAATGTAACATTAAAACACTACATTTATGTAGATAAATTAATTGATGGAAACATGAAGATATTTATTACTAGAGGATAGATTTACAGATATCATTTTGATAGATTTTAAGCCTAGTTAAAATATAATAGTATGGATTAATAATAATATAACAGAAGTGTACATTATAAAAGTAAAGGCTATTGATTGGCAGTGGCGTCCTCAGACCTTTTTGGGGGGTGGGGGGTGAACTTCATAAATGTATTCACATTTATGTATTTTCCTAGTATGATATAAATAATAAATATTAACAATTTGGAAAAAAGGCCATGGGGTGACTGTCCCATTCACCCCCTCCTAAGGATGCATCTACTGGTAGCCTCATGCTTACATAAAACATAAGAATAATATAATTTACATTGAGCAATTGAACGTAGTTTATTATTTATTTGATACTTTATAATTATAATAATGAAAATTTTAAAATAAAAGTATTTGTAATCAGGGACATCCACATAAATGTAACTCAAGGGGAGCAAAAATATTTTAAGTAAATATAAACTAATAATTTTTTTGCTATGTTTTTCTTCTTTTTCTTATGTCCTAAAGTAAATATAAACTATGGGAAGATTTGCCACTCTATGTTTCGTATGCTCATATTTTGTAATATTATCATTAATAATGTTCTAAAAATCTAAACTAATCTAAGTTCATATAAAATTACATTATTAGTTCAAATATTTAAAAGAAAAACATAAGAAAGTATAAACAAAAAATAATTTAATTTTATCAAATTTACATCATGTTTAATTATTTTATTCAAAAAGTAATGACGATCTCCTTTTGTTAGAAGCAAATAAATTGATCGAATCATCAATTTGTTGATTAAATTTTTTTTATCACCATACCTTTGCTGATGTATATTAATGGTCTAGGGACGTTTAGGTCACTAATAAAAACGCAACCCGTTTGGACCAGGATTTTGTGAACCCATTTGAGCCAATTTTTTTTTTAGTACATTTTAAATAAAGTACTTCTAAATAATTACTAGTAAGCCCGTTTAGGCCCGTTTCATACGCATATCGTACGCGCGCGCTTTTAGTTTACATTGATTAAGTTCATACGCACCGTAATGACGAGCAAAACGCGCCATTACCGGAGTAATAAGATGTTCAGTTAAACTGTGTAAACTAATTTGTAATTTATGTACAGAATAATAATATTTATAATTGATAATTGGCCAAAAACCCACAGTTATATTATATATACGTATGATACAAATATACAATACATACACAAATATATAATAGATATCTGTTACAAAATGGCCTTATCGGCGGGTGCGATAATACTAATTGGCAATATTGCGATTTATTATATATTATTATCAAAAATTTAAAACACTATGCTCTATAGTGGTTCCTATAAATCATACCATACTAGGTTAGTATTAATATTTTCAATTTTGTTAGTGCACTCTTAATATTCGTGTAGTTAAAATGGATTTTCAAATCGAAAATGTTTTTTGTCGACCTTATGGCAGCATATGGCACAGTCAACCATAATATTCTATTATAAAAAATATACTACCACAAAATATTGGGATTTTATCCAAATAGTCGCGTCTCTTTTACACAATCGTCGTTTTACGGTGACACTGAACAATAAATGGAGGAAACAAAGAAATGGTCTACCACAGGGTAGTTATCTGGCTCCGACACTATTTAACCTGTACACCAATGACCAACCTATACCTGAAGATAAAAGACACTTCCTATATGCGGATGATCTGGCAATGACAGCCCAGGATATATCTTTTGAGAAAGTCAAAATAAACGAAACGAAAATCGTAGAATCCATGAATTTTTATTACTCTAATAATCAGCTAAAACCATACCCAAGCAAGACACAAATATGCTGTTTCCATCTAAGAAACAGAGATGCTTAGAAACGAATCGACATAAAGTGGCTCGAAGATACACTACCCTACACTGACTACCCAGTCTATCTTGGAGTAACATAAGATAGGACACTTACATTTAAGGAGCATTGTATTAAAACGAAAATGAAAATACAGACTAGGAACAATCTACTGGAAAAGCTGTCGGGTACTAAATGGGGAGCATGACCATACACAATGAGAACAACGGGATTGGCATTATGTTTTTCAGCGGGGGAATACACGTGCCCAATGTGGAGTAGGTAGGTCGAAATATGTTAAACACGTGGACGTTGTGTTAAACGATACCTGTCGACCTATAACAGGATGTCTCTGACCAACACCGATAAATAAAATATATTGTCTGTCAGGAATTGCCACACCTAGAATTAGAAGGAGCGTAAGCACGGATCTAGAAAGAACAAAACAGCTAAAAGATAATAGACACCCCATGTTTAAGAACGAAGCTATAAGAACAAGATTTAAATCCCGACAAAGCTCTATTAATTCATCAATGGAACTAAAAGACCCCCTCCCCCCAGACCAGGCTAGACTACTAAGATGGAGAGCTGAAGCGGAAATAGTCGACCCCATCCAACCAAACCAGCACCTACCACCTGGTAAAGACCTACGGTGGAACCTATGGAAAACTATCAATAAATTGAGAACTGTAGTCGCAAGAACAAGATCAAATATAGTGAAGTGGGGTTTTAATAATAATAAGGAGGATAACAAGTGTGAATGCGGCGAACGATAGAAAAATGAACACTTACTTGTATCATGAATCCAACATAGTGTAACAGGAACGACCTTCTTTGTAAGAAATTGTAGGACATGAATTGTTACGGATTCTCCATAATTTTTTTTTTACATTATTTTTATTTGGTATCAAACACGGAGCCGACGAGAGGGTGGGACAGGGAGGGTTAGAGCCTCAAGCCCGTCGTCTCATCCTTTAATACAACATTTTTTTATAATCTCATTTGTTGCAGCATAAGATGCGAGTTTGAATATTTGTATTGTACTTAAGTATGAAAAAGTAGTATGTTTGTATACCTTGGCCAAACAAGTGTAAAGGGGACCTAGAATTTATCAGCCCCGGGGCCCTCAAAAGTTCTTACCGGTTCTAATCAAAGAAGCAGCTTCGTCTGTTAATTTGGTAACTTTTAGGAATATCGAAATTGTTTATAATATTTTCTTTCGTCGTATTTAAGGCATGGCATACTTCAGCTTTAGCAGAACCAGGAATATGAGAATGTTTTTAATATTTTAAAATATTGGTTTTGGATGAATTTGTCGTTATACTACCTTCACAATGTTCCTTTCGTTGAACATAAATATATCACCCAATTCCTTTTGAAACACTTAAATGTAATCATTAATTTTTAATTTTGTTTTAACTAATTCAATTGTAAATTCTCCCCGAACCACCACTGCACTAACTAATAACTAATAACTACAGCCTATAGGTACCTTACCTACCCTAGTAATAGCCATAACCAGCTGTTTTGTACTTATTTTAAAACAAGGTATGGTAAATATATAATTAATTCTAGCGGGGAAATTGCTCCCCCCTCCCGCCAGTTTACACCTATGCTCACGGTTATCGTAGAGTAATAATTGCTCGATGTCAATTATCTGTGTTCTAATATTGGGTGCAAAAAGGCCGATATTTCGATAAAACCGTCAGGTGTTAATTGTCCGAATACCATATTTCGACAACTGTCGTTTTTTCTATAAAAACAATTTTCACTCCTACCTTGGATTATGAATCAATACATAGGCATAGAGCATAAGTTTATGTATATTTATGTCATCTATGTCGATTGAACATTTATAATTATTTTTTCTAACAAATTTTCCCTATTTCCTTTTTCCTTAAGTTTTTTAATATTAAATTCAATTATTTTTGCGAACATCCGCGCTGTTTTTGCGTAACCGTTAAAATATTGTGGACGTCACTTGGGTTTGATGCTGTGCAATGATTTTAATAACAATTTTAAAAAAATTAATAGTTTTATTTTTATATAACCAACTACCAAACATTGGTACAAAAAAAAAAAATCTATAATAAGGTACTCAATCATTGTTTGTCTTACACACTTATGAAACATACATAACATTGCATAAAAATAGAATAAAATAATTTTAATATTTATAATGTACCTAAGTTTAATAAATCCGGTCACGGTGAACTTTTTTGTCTGCTTTCTCTCCCACCATGATGCACCAATTATATCATTAGATACAAGACTTCCAACAGTTCCTCGAGATATTTATTTCTCAATATTCTTGTTGCCAAGTTGTGTCTAATTAGTTATTTCATTATGATTATGTTTTTTTATGAAACTATACAAATAAGTAATACAATATTTTATTACAGCAATATAGAAGTTAAGTTAAGAGAATTTTAAAAAACAATCAATTCATAATATGATTTTAAAATAATTTATAATTTAAAGGCAACAAAACATATCAAACAATACTTGATTCTAAAATTAAGCAAAAATAATAATTATTATATTATAATAAAAGTATAAGTAAATTATACTTAAAAATGATTAGTCAATGTAATACATATTAAAATATGAAATTGAAAGAAAAAGGATACATTTAAATAATACTAGACAACCATTCAGAGTTCTTTGGCAGTTGCGAACTCAAAAAAAAAAAAACATTTGTATAGTTAAAAATAACACTATTACAATAATTTCTGTACAATAATATATTTTATCTAATATGAGAAAATGTCCAACTACTAAAATAAAAAGAAAAACAATTCATATTAAAATTCACACAATTCAAAAATAAGTCCATAACAGGGAAATATAGGACAACAATATTTATGTGATATTAAATCATAATTCTTTATCGATGTTATGTACAATTTTACTATACAGACTTGTTCACAATGTAATTAAATCACATTATTTTGGGATGCTGTAGCTACTCAAGTAATCAGTTTTAAACAAATAAATAAGTTAAATTAACAAAATATATTATGTAATTATAAATATATAAATTAAGTGTATAAATAAAACTAACAAATTATGTGATAAGTTCTTGTAATTTTTTCACTGTGGTTTCATTCAAAGCACAGAGATCAAAATCAAAAGTTTTTGTAGTTATTTCATAATGTCCAGTTTCGGCTATTACAGTTACTACCCTTTGAAGGTCTTCATCTTCTAACATCATTATTTTGTGTTGGAGATGTTTTAGTGAATTTATATACTCATCAGTGAATTTATTGTTACTTGGAGATGGTGATGGTGATCTAGAAAGGTCTGAACATGTTTCCCGTATCTGTTCAGTAATCTCTGGTCTACTAGATTTTGGCTTTGATTCTTCAGAATCACGTTCTTTCTTTTTTCGTTTCTTCTTTTTTATAAAACTATTTTCTGGAGAAAGCTTTTTCTTGGGTGGTTCTAGTTCCTTAGGCTTAGGTGGTTCTGGTGGTTGATAAGGAGAATCACTATCTTCAGAGAGAAATTCTTCTTCAGATTCAGGTTCATGAATTCTAGAAGAATTCGCTTTTGGTGGCGGTGAACATTCTGGTATCTCTTCTTTTAACTTAGGAAATTCTTCTATTGAAGTAATTGTTTGTGGTACATCAAGATGTTTAAATGAAGTATCTTGCTCAACAAAATTCGATTTTTCTTCTTTCTTAGATAATCTTTCTTCTTTATTTCTTTTATCTCTTTTTTTATGCTCCTTATGACTTTTATGTGGTTTTGATGATTTTTCAGATTTTTCTAGTTTTTTATCAGACTTAATTTTTATTGATTCTGGAGAACTTTTATGTTTCTTTTTCTCTTGATCATTAAATTCAGATTTTATTTCTTGTTTAATAATTTTTGCTTCATGATATGATTTTTCTTCTTTGTGAGTCTTTTCTTTATTCTTTTCCTTTATTTTATCTTCGCGTTTGCTTTTATCTTTAGATTCTTTTTTTTCAATTTTAATATCATTTAACTTTTCTTTTACCTTTTCATGATGAGTAGATTCTTTTTTGTCAGGTTTAGAACTACTTTGTTTAATGGACTTAGATTTGTCAGAACTTTCTTTCGATTTTTCTTTTTTATCTTTATCTTTTTTTACTTTGTCAACAGACAATTCTTTGGACTTTTTCTTTTCTTTATCTCTTTCTTTTTCTTTTTTTTCCTCTTTATGATGAGGACTACTTTTAATTTTTGTTTGAGATTTGTCCGAGGAAGATAGTTTTTGTGATGATGATTTTGATGTAGTCAGTGGTAACTTTGAAGGCTGTATTGGAGACCCAAAAAGTGTGGCAAATGTATTATTTAATTTCATGTCTTCTTTTTTATTTTTTTTAGGTGGTGGGGATGGCAACCGATTAGTATTTGTAATTGATTTTTGTTTTGATATGGCAGAACTTGAAGAGGGGTTTTTTGTTTCAGCACCATCATGTGATAATACACTTATCTAAAGTATTAACAAATAATATATTTGTTAATATGATACAAAAATGTAATTAAATACTAAAATGTTTTTGATACCATTATTGGCTGTTTGCTTATTGCGCACTTGAAATAATAAAATAGATGTAATTTTTGCCAGACTAATCTAGTAATACAATAAGAATTTAAGAACAAATTTGAATTTATATTGAAATCTACTTGAGACCAACTTTTCTACTCCCTCCCTCCAAACTACAATAGTAAAATCAGAGCTTAGGTTTTTCAATTATCGAGGGAAAGTGCCACAATTTCAAAAAAAAAAAAAAAGGTGTTCAATTAATTTTGGTAGGATTATTTAGGGACTAAATCAAAAAATGTAGAAAGGCTGAATACAAAAAGACTCCACATAAAATTCAAACTTATTTTTAAAATTTTTATCACATTGCTAGATTGGTTTGAGCGTTTGGCAACTCTAATCTACTATATTATGTGTGTAATAAGCTACGATAATTAACCTACATTGTTTTAAGACTTATAAATTTAATATAAATTTGGAAAGTTAAATTCATTTATATCTTATGGCTTTTAACACAAATCAACTTAACTATCTATCTAAATAAAATTAATTTATTATATATTAGTTGTTAGTTGTATAATGAAAGATATTTAAGTTGAAGAATTGGAGAAAAATTATAGTTTTTTGTGTGGTACTTATAAGTTTTCAAAATTAAAAAAGAAATATATTTATATATATGAAAGATAAATTGAATTTTTTTATAGTAATAAACCAAGGATTGTTTAATTGTATTTGTAACATAATAGGTACTAACATTTTTTTATAATTAATGTTTTAATGTCTGGAAGTGAACTTAAATAGTTTTTAATCTTAAAATAATAAAATTTTATAGTAATTATAAATGAAAAATGTATCATTAAATATTGAGTTCAATTCTGTGTTATACTATACATATGAATAGGAAAACAACAAGAAAAACGAATCTTGGTAATAATTATGCTATTTATATGTTTCTTTAAGTCAGTGGTTTTCAAACTGTGGTAAACGTACCCCTTGAGGGTACTCGAAATTATTTAAGGGGTAGGAGTCTGGCCAACAAACCTTTACATTTAAATTATTAATGTGGAAAAGGTTATTCATGTTTAAAAGTAAATATAGAAACAAGTTAAATCCTGAAGATGATTTAAGATTGTATTTAACAAAATTAGAACCCAATATTGATCAACTGTGCCAACAAAAACAAGCTAACAAAAAACCTAATCTAACCCTTCTCACTAATTTTTTTGAAAGTAAGCTTTTTATGTTTATAACATTTTATTGTGTATTAGTTTTTAATAAAATAAAAATGTAATTAAGTTTTTAAATTTTTTTATAATTATTTTAGTTTTTCTAATTAAGAAGGGGTACCCAAAAAATATTATTGATAAAAAGGCATACATTGTTTATAAAAGTTTAAGGATCCTTCTTTAAGTAATAACAAAACATTAAATTCAAAAAGTGAAAAATCATTTATGCATGGTATCTTACTTCATATTATTTTAATAAAATCATGTTTCAATTCCATGGTGTATATTAGAGAAAATAAATATTAGCAATATTCTTTATAGAAAATTATTTACTTACTCCTCCGCCTTTAATAAGTTTCCGTCGGAAATCTTCCGAAGGGCTAAATACATATACTTCTCTTATAACTCTTGAAATTGGTGGTGAACCACGATCTTGAAGTACCAATTCGTAGTTAAATTTAATTTTTCTTGGTTCTTCTTTATTTCGTACATAAATTTCAATAGGTAATGGAAAACCAGCATATCCAGATTCTTTCACAACATATGGTGGTTCTTTAACCACTAAAAAAAAATTGCAAACCATACAAATTACATTTTTGTTGTCAAAATTCTAACTAGATAATAAACCATGTTTTATAACTTCATATATATATATATATATATATATATATATATATATATTGCGAAATGTTTAAATAATAGTTTATTTTTATGAATATGACAGTTTATTTTTTATGAAAACATTAATGTTTGATTATTTGCCTAACACTAATATTGAAGTTGCAGAGTTTTTACAAAATATAAATAAATTATTTAAGTTTAACAGTCAACAGTTATTAAAATATATTGTACATGAATAAAATATGCATTTTAATATCACAGTTTTGAAGGAGTATATAAAATAAATAAATTGTATAGCCTATTTATTTAAAAAATTAAATTATCAGATATAAGCAGAATTAAAAAAAAAAAAATGTTTCTTATTGTTGTTAATTAATAATTTTATTGTAATAATATGCTAAACATTTAAATAAACAGTGTTAAGTATTACAATTTGATCAATAAAAAGAAAGTATAGAGATAAGAATTTGAAAACTTCATTTTTAGGTCTATAAAATAAAATTTAATTTATATTGTATATTAGGAGATTCATCTATGTATTTTTGTTTTATAACTTTTAAAGTAGTAAACATTTTTTAACTTTATTAGAACATATAATAAAATGTTGCAATTATAATTATTTTTTTTTGTAGTTAAAAAACAAAAGTATATTACATGCATTTACAGTTATAAATAAATGTTTCATTGGTAGCATTAAGACACAACCAGTCATCAAAACACATGGCTTATTTAGGAAAATTATAAAACATTACAATGTATAAAATATTTGGGTATATTTCAACAGCTTATGAAAAGATAAAACCTATAAGATTAAGTTGGTAAAGAACACAATATTGAATTAAAAAAAAAAATAAAACAAGCAAATGTTGTGTATGACTTAACTATATTTATTAAAAAATAAACTTGCCTCTTTTTGGATTTGGAAACGTGTCATGTAAATGAAACACAACTTTGTCAATAAAGAAATGTATGTCTGTGTTGTCAGCGCCACGAACAAACAGTTCCCAGTCATGAGTAAATCCTTCTGGCGTTCGTTTGTTTCGGACGGACGCCTCATGACCAATTTCAAATATAACTTTAACATACTGCAAAATAAAAAAGGCAGTTAAAGCATATAAAAGTTGAATGTTGCGAGAGTGACAATAATATGAACCAATAATTAAACGACTGAACAGTTACCAACGTTCGCCTGCACATCACTGTGATTTACAGAGAAGTAATCATAGTCGTACACTGTTGTCCAGTGGATTGTCGACGCATAGGTTACATATCAGAATCACTATGGAATCAAAAAACCAACAATACTCACGGGAAATGCCATTTTCATGGAATCATTGTGGCCGTACAGCGGATGGTTATTACCAATGCTCCGATGACGGCTGGTGCTTGCGTGTACCCACAGAAAACAGTCGGCGGGTACCAGTGATTGTCGGAAAGACTTCGTCCGGCCGAACAGTAAGGGTAGTATTTTTTAAATTTTTTTTTTGTAACCTCGATGTATCCTGCACGGCAGAAAGAAAATCCAAACGATGGACGAGCGCGTTCAAGATAACAGACGTAATATTATCTACTTTCCAAATAAAAACACTCAAACTGCTAGCACGCACGTAAATAAATCAAAAACGAAAACAACAAACAGCTGAACGCCCAGGCGGGCCACAACTTGCATAATTACCCGCGAAACTGACGAGGTCGAAGCAATCGGAAGTAGTGACAGCCGCATTGTAACAGCTGCGGTCGACTAACGCATCGTCATCAAACGGAAGGATCGAAGGTCGTGAGAATTAATAATAGAAAACATAATTATAGTTCCATTCTGTGGCGATACATATTATTCTCACACATGTCTATACTGTAAATAATCTGTATTCTGTGGTATTACTATTTTAATCGTTATCGATGCACGGCGGTTGATATAACCATATTGTTCTGTGATATAACAGCTGGGGCTTAACGTAACCGCACATCACATCGTAATCAGTCATGACCGCTTTGACCAGCCTCCAGTCATGATGACTCGATTTTAAGTCGTCCAGTCTATGTCAGCGGTTCTCAAACTTGTCCACTCCATGTGCGGTCCTTATATCCGAGTTCCAGTTTCCAGCTTTAAATGCACTCGTACAATTGTATCCGGTGTACTTTAAGAGTTAAATAATCAGGATCGATACCATTGGCAGTTGTAATTATTATTAATTATAACATTCATCGGTTGGATATATTTGTGAAGTCCTAGTGTTGGATTGGGCCTATTTTGAAACCCGTTGTTCTAACCTATATTTTGAACGGTTCGATCGGCCGAATATTTTCAATGACCGGAGTGTGTAGATGCCGAAAAATCAACGGCAGTTTGTTTGCAGTGAGTGATCTACACAATAAGTTAAGACAAGAGTTGGTTGTACGTATTTAAACAACTAAACTGGTCACCGTTACACCTTAAAAACTTCAACTGCTTCGGATTCGTATCCTGTAGTCTAGACGATCCATAGTGTCAAATTCGAGTACATATTTGTCGCTATTAGTTTGTCGGCGTCTACTGAAGTTGTAGGTCGTGCGTCGGTGTCGGTACGTCTTGCGTCAACTATCGTTTGTACTGTGCAACATTTTTGACATCGCAGCTAATCTTAGTTCACGCTGTCGTATTGACACCGTACTTCTACGTACGTAGATTGCCGACGCCCAAGCGCGACGTTCGTTCCATAAGTTTTTGAACGACACGCGGTTAGGTATCGTAAAGGATAACTGATGTATTTACTACCACTTTTGCTTGTATTGGAAACCTACACTGCTGTTCATCATCATGTCTGATGCTGAGGATTGCTGCTTGTTGGAATCCATTGAAGACAATGCAGATGAATCGGAGTTTAATTCTAATAATGAACATCAGCAACAGCAGGTATAAGGATTGGTAGACATTGCTATGAGCAGTTTAAAATTAATTATTATAAATCACTTTATTCCATCTTAGCACAATGAATCATTAATTTCATTTCTTTCAACTGTTGTATTTATTGTATAGTTAACCTACTGATTTTGTATTGTTAATCATATTTAGACTAAAAATTGTACAAACATAACATTGACTCGTGATGAAGCAAATAAAGAATTTGCAACAACTATTAGTTATGGTAAATTTGTACTTATATTTTACTATTTATTAAATATATTTTATATTTTTATTTACATTCTTAAATCAATACATTATTATTTATAGTTAATATTACTATTTTAGAATTAGACAATCAATTATTTAGTGATGACAATTTACCAGAAGGATGGACTAAAGTGAATCATGATAGTGGTATGCCAGTTTATTTAAATGAAGAAATGAAGGTTTGTACTTTTACAAAGCCATACTTTCTTGGAGCTAATAGTCTTAAGGTAAGCATTTTTTAATTTCTATATTTTTTTTTTATAAAGAATGTATTGTTTAATTTTTATAGAACCATGAAATTCCAGTTGAAAATGTTCCTTGTTTACATTATAAACTAAAACTGCAAAATAAAAATGATGAAAACAATGACTCTTCTGACAGTAATATTTGTGTTCATTAAGTTTCTCTAGTAAATATTATATACAATTAAAATAATTTATTTTTAGACATACCTGTTACATTGAGTCATGAAAAGTACCGAGAATATTGTAGTAAATTATTTAAGTTTAAAAATATAAAATTTATGAGATTTAGGTAAGTTATTTGTTATATTACAGTTTTAAATGAAATACAATAATTTTTTTTGTTTAGTTCCTGGGATAAGCGTCGAGAATATATACGAATGATTAAAGCTGATCGAAGACGAAAAGATCTTCCAAAATTAAAAGACAAATCACAATTGATGTCATTTCCAGTTCAACACCCTACTGGTAAAAGAAAACATTAATATTACTTTTATTAGTTATGATAATTTTTTTTTTTTTATTGTTAATATAATATAATATATAATATAATAGGACTTTAAAACTTTAAATAATTAATTTTTAATGTCAAAAAATAAATAAAATAAGTTAAAAAAAATGTAATTAGCAATCATAATTGTTTTGTTAAGAAGTGTTACATTTTTTATTATAAATGTATATCTTATATTTCTAATTTCATGTTGAGTTTTTGATGACATTATCAATGTATCTGGTTTTAATTTGTTGAATGCTGTCTTATTTTCAAAAGAAATGATAATATTTAAATTTTGATAAATTGTTATGTGGTATCCAAAAATATTTTACAAAGAAGCAAATTTATTCTTTTAATTTTATTTTTTTATTTATTATACAAAGAAATCTATTTTGTTGTAATGATTTTCTTTAAAAATTCTTAGCCAAAAATAATAAGGATGATTCTAATCTTGATGAGCAATGGACAATTAATTTAAATGGTAAAAGCTATGTAAGCATTCTGCATGAATATATTCAACGTGTGCTGAAAACACAACCGTCATATGAATTTAAAGAACTTGGTAAGAAGTATTAATGAAATTATTAATATTATTAAAGTACAATGATTTTTTTAAATTTTTTTAAGAGAATGCCAGGTATCCATATCTATCCACTGTAATTCTAGATGGCATGCAATATGGTATCGGCATTGGCTCTAGTAAAAAACAAGCTAAACTTGATGCTGCTAGAGCTACTCTTGAAATACTATTACCATCTGTTAAAGACCATATTCAAATCAATCGAAGGCATTTAATGAATGAGCGTCAAAGTTGTACTAATTTTGATGGAGATACAGTAAGTATTCTTTTATCTACTTAAGAAAATCACTTTTTTAATTAATGTTTTGTTTATACTGTAGCTTTTTGACAAATTAAAAATTAAGGATTCTAGAATACCTGAATTTTGTGCTCAAGCTGCTGAGTCAATGCCATATGACATGTTGCAGATATGTGTGAAACGGTAAATAAATAAAATAAAAAATCAATAGTCAGTATTTATTTATATTTATTTAACAGAAATTTTGGTGACAATGTTAATGTCATAAGTGAAATGCAAACTATGCAAAGTGGATCAGATTCTGAGATATTTTATCGTTGCACAATGTCTGTTAAAGAATATTCTGCAACTGTTATTTGTAAAAATAAACGTGAAGGACGTCAAAAAGGAGCTCAAGCTCTGCTAAAGGTTTATTAAAAATAATATTTTAGAAATTATTTTATATTTTATAATATATTTTTTAATTATAGGTACTGCATCCTCATATAAATTATTTTGGTTCTTTGTTAAGATTATACAGCCATCAAAACGTTGGAAGTGGATGTGAAAAAAAACTAGACGAACCTGGTAGTCAAAGCCCAAAACCTAGGAGTGGCCCTAACTATGAAATATTGAAAAAATTAAATACTGAAATGTTGAAATTAGAATCTTAATAAAAAAATTTAAAAATATATGACATACTTTTTTTGACACAGTTCTTAATTATATTAAATAATTATTAGTTTAGTGTGTTATTTGATTAATTTTTGAGATTCTATAGTTGTTTTTTTTACAAGATTTAACCTCATAAGTTAATTTCATAACAAAATAATATAATTGGATGGTAATAGATATAATACATTCATTTAAAAAGACTGTTTAAATATTTAACATTTTAAATTAAAGGAAAAAACTTATCTAGGTCAATCGCATTTATTTGTATTGTAACTGTTGACAAAACTAATAATAAATATTTATGATAAAACTGTCGTAGTGACAGCAAGTACTTAAAAAGAAAATAAAAGAAATATTTATTTACTATATCATAGTGATAGCAAATAATAAAATAAAACAACAAAATAGAATAACAATTATTAATATTGTTATATATATATATATGTATAGGATATGGTGAATTAATAATAATTAATAACATGGATCTGAGTAATATATTTTCCCTTTATTAATATTAACAACACCAACAATGCAACAAAACACAACTCATGGCACGATCAAAAACACTGGCCATGATGCTGACGAACAAAATAAATTATATCAATACTAATAATAAAACAAGAGGGTGGGAAAATCTTGCTGTCTTGGGAGAAATCCCACTTATATTAATGTTAATATATCATGCTGTAGTGACAATGAAGATAAAAGAGAATAATATTAATTAAAATTATTTGTATATCTGTTCTAATGACAAGTGCAATAGAAATGGTACGCTCCTCAAACGACGAAGCAACAGAAAAAGAAAACTGTCGAGTGGTTTGACATCCGGTGCAATGTCAGAATTACTCTGACTATTGCACCATTGCTCGGTTTGCAGAACCACTTGATCAGTTTTGGGGGGGTCCTTTTTTCTTAGACTTGCAAGTCGTCTCGAGTAGGTCTTACTTCAATTTCGGAAAGGTGAATGGTAACTTTCGTCGAGTCACCGGAGCTTTTATATCTGCTGGATCGGCGGTATCGATAAGAAAATTAAAATAATAAGAATAGTATTACCTACTCGTTAAGGTATTTGCAAATTTTATAATAAGAATACATTTTAATTATGATTCGTGTTTATTTACGGTAGTATTGATAAACACAACATTGGTTAAGTAATACAAATAGTAAATAGTATTAACAAAAATTGGACGAATCATATTTTAATAAAAATCTGTGTTTATAGAAATGCCAATATAATATAAAACATAAAATAAAATTCGGCTCAAACAGTAACCAATATTAATATATTTCAGATAAAACCTATTTCTTATTTTTATTAAATTAATGAACAATAGATTTTTTAAATATAGGTAATCTTATTAGTTTACTACAAAAGAATTTTAATATATTATATATTTTATCTAGAAATAATGTGAATCATTTTTTTTTTAAGTATGTTGCATAAGCGAGGTACAATCTATGACTATTTCATAAAATCAATAAGATTTAATACATTCACAGTATTGTTTCTATTTTAGAAATAGTTTATAGACTATAGTTTGAACTCTTATTGAAATTTGTTTCATTATAAAGTGACCCTATTAATCAGTTTAATGAGTCTTAAAATAATAAACGAATCATTACATACAAAATATTATTGCAAAGAACTAAACAAATAAATAATAATACATTTTTATTTAAAAGAATTACATTTTTTTTTTGTTTGCACTTCAAGGTCTAAATTTGAATGTATTCTCTATCAACCTTTGTTAACCACTATTATAATGCCAAATATATAATACTAGGAAAATCTTTATGTAGGTAACATTGATTGAGTTTAAAAAATATTTTTTTATATTAAATTATGTCATTGCATTCTAAAAGATTTTAGTTGTTTAACAAAATATATACAAATTAAAAAATACTTAACGTGGTGAAAAATTCTTTGAAAATAGATTATTTTATATAAATCAAGCACAATAAATTTCTTGGTATCTATAATTCTGGCACAGATTTCAATTCATGGCAATGGTTTGATGATGATTTCATTGCTAAAGTTATACCACTTTTATAGTTGGCTGGTATCACAATATGATTAGTAAATTGGACACTTTCTTTTTCTTCCCTTAGAAGATTCACCACTTGTCCTGAAACGAGAATCATTAACTAAAAGTTAGGGGACAAATATTCCATTTTCAAATATTGCATACCTAACACATTAAACCTATGCCAATGTCTATCAGAATGTGTGGCTAATGACATGAGATCTGTTTGTGGGGTCCACCTTGACAGTACATCAGCTCTTTTAATCATCAAAGTTGATGGGGAAATCAGTTGTGGCTTCAGCACATCCATTGAATATTGACTCAGAGGATTGGTTAGGTAGATTTGAGCGCATTCTGTACGTAAAGGGTTATATGCTACACCATACATCATTTGATGGTGCCAGCTATCTGGCACAAGTGTATGTGATGTAACAATTCCACGTTGGCGATTTAATGTCAATATTGGAATTGCCCCTTTATTAGTGTAAGATTATTTATTATAGTGGCATAAATTAAAAACAGTTAATAATAATTAATTATTAATTATTGTCTGTTAAAACTACCTTTTTGAATCCAACTAGCAAGCCAGGGAGCCAAAGGCATATCCAAATTTTGATGTGTGGAAAAAAACCTTGCACTGACTTGTGAATCTGTAGCAGTTTCTAAGGTCTTTACTAAATCTTGTGGCATACAACCAGCCATAGCACACGATTCCAAATAGGAAACAAGAGGAGCAGTTTCATCACGCAAACGAGTGCCAATGGTCTTAATTATTCGGTCAATACTAAATGGTATCCTTAGGGCTAACTAAAAATAGAAAAATCAATTATTAATATATAGCATTGGGGTTAAATATGAGTTCATAATTAAGTATTCGAGACAATTTTATGAAAAATTGCACATTTTTTTATAATAATGTATTTTTTAATTTATTATATATAATACATACACAGGAAATATTTATGAGGGGATACAATATTTGCATTAGCTGATAATTCACCAATACCAAAATTATAAATTAATTTTTTTTAGCTAAACATACAGCACAGTAAAGTTTAAAAATTAAACTAATACATTTTATCTAAATATTTATCATTTATTGAGCTTAAGAGATATAAAATTTATATAATTTAAGATCTTAAGAATTTAATAGATGACTTAAAAAAAAAAGTGCAGTGAGTATATGAGTGCATAGTGATTATCCTACTATTGCTTGCAAAATTTTATTTCTAAAAATAGAATTACTATTCTCATCATTAAGCCAATGTTTTTTTTAATCTTTAGGTTAATTTACAGCTTTTATACTTTATTTTTAGTGGCTTATTAATATGTCTTTAAGTTCTTCATAAGTCTTAATATTTTTTTAATACTTATAATATAATATCATAATTGATTATAATTCATTAATCATTAATATATCGTATTTATAATAACTTAACATTTTATTTGTATTTAAAAAATTATTTCGACAATTTCAAGTACCTTATTAGTTTTTTTCCATCAAATATATCTATCCCCCAGAGTCACATTTATAGCAGTTATTTTTTTAATTTTATTAATGAACTATATTTCACATATTAATGAAGTTTTTTTTTTCTCCAAATATAGAAGGTTAATTTCTTCAATATAGTTTGGTTTTATTACTATTATGGATTTATTTATATTTAAGAGTACTTCCATCATCAAACATAAACTTGTTTCATAAGTATAACATTCTTACTTAAATTAATCACTGTTTACCAAACTTTTTTTTTACTAGTCCTTTTTTTCTGGATTCCAGGTAAAATTTAATATCGTTGTCTTTTTAATATTGTTTTTTATCTTTGATATTCTACTTCAGACGAATGAAATTCTTGATATACATGATTATTTTTGGTAACTCTAATATATATTTAAATGTTTTGACTTAATTGTCTTAACCACTACTTAAGATTTTATGATTTTCAATTAATCAGGTTCTTAAGTTGCTGATATCTTCATTGTTCTTCTATAAATTTAATTAACTTCATTATTAATATTTTGTTTTTATGTATGTATATTTTATGTGTGAATGTATGAAAATAATTGTATTATATCATGTTTTAAAACAAATATTACGTATACATAAATATAAAAATAGCTTTTATAATACAATTTATTTCTAATGTTTTAAAAGCTCTTTAATGATGTTATGTTTAGACCATTGTATGAACTCTGCAATGGAAGTATGTAATTTTATAGATTGTTCTTATCTTCCATAATTTACGATATTAGACACATGGTAGCTCTACAACCTTTTTACAATGAATATTTTGAAGTCTAGATTAAAAAAGTATTTAAGTTGTAAGGTTTTGTATGCTAAAATTTAAATTATTCTGAATATGTGTAACGAAACTTGTTCAATGTTACTGTGGATATTGGTCTAATACATTTTTGAATGATTGTTTATAATAAATTCTATGAGCGGGATATGAAAAAGAATGACATTGATAGCAAACCTACAATATAATTAATTTTATACAAAACCAATAAATTAAATTAAAATTACCAAACTTACTAAAGTATTTACAACAGCAGTTACACCACAGGCAGATACACCAATTTGGTTAACTTGCATAAGGGCTGCATCATTTTCAGACCATACCATTTCTTTGACCCAAGTCAAATCGTCTACACGCATTCTTTTCATTTTTTGACATACCTCCTAGTAATAATAAGCTAATATTGATAAAAATCAACTATCAAAATTATCAAATAAAAAAAAAATCTATTCATTTTTTTACCAAAGTATCACCAGTACGCCTTAAACATCCATTACGTTCTTCCTTAGAAAGAAGAGCATTGACACCATTCAAGTATATACTATTAATAGGTAAATTAGTATTAATAGCAGACAATTCAGGAGTAGAATTATCTGTTTCATTAATTATTGCAATTTTAGTATCAATGGGGTTTTCTTTTTCATTTTTATTAACACCGGAAAAACTAGGTACTGGATCTTCTTCAGGTTCACTATTAAAAAAATAATAGATTTATTACTTACAATACAATCATTTGAATGAAGTTTACTTTCAATAGATATATTATACATATGTTATATTATACAAATTTAATATAAATTTACTTGTCATCATTGTTAATTAGGACAATTTCTCCATCTTCACCAGCAGTAGTTTCAGGATCAAAATCCATTTCTAAGTAATCCATCAAAGGTGATGCACTTCTATCATTCATAGGTAAATTGTTAACTTCTGGCTCTTGTCGATCACCTCGATATGTGTATATACAACAATCATCATCAGAATTATTTTCTTCTTGGTCACAGTAAACTAAACTAGCAGCAATCATGTGATCATGCTGAGCAGCCATATCACAATCAGCACAACACTCAGAAACGGTACAACCATTCATAAAATTATTATTCAAGCTAGACCAAAAAAAAAAATAACAAGATTAAAAATGTACATCAATGAAAACAAACC